CAGATGTAAATGATTCAACGGTCTCCCGAAAAGAAGACAATAAACTTATGTTCGAAATAACGCTTTGCAAATTCTGAAAACACTCTGCTTTGTATACAGGTTCTTAGAAAACAAAGATGGACAGGTTTAGTTTTATGCATAAACAAAACATGAATCGTCTTTCACTCTTTAAGCGTAATCGGTATCATATTTTTTCTTGAAATCCAGGCTGAAGGGCACAAAAGACACCACTAGGGATTCTTCTATGCAGATTTGCAAAAGTAGATCTTTTTATTCACCTGTTGGCTCTAGATCGTAACAATCTGCAAAAGTTCTCTTCGGATTTATCCTCAACAAGTTCAGATACAAATATATATGTGAAAAGGTAGAATTTGTTTTTTTCTGAAAACATGCTCCGGTTTATTGATTCCAGAAATTGTTTTGGCAGTGTGCGGAAAAATGAATATTTTGTAGGTGAATTTTATTCGTGGGTATATTTCCACAATCTTACAAAACAAAGATGTACATAGCCTGTTCTCCATGACTATTTGGTCTTGTCGATTTGTTTGTATCATCCTGCTGCACCGTCAATGGAGCTGATGGGTCATCTTCATTTTTTGCGTCTGACGAAAATGACAGATTATCTTGATTTTTCAATGCTATTAACAGGCTTACCAAAAATTAGCGTTTCTATACGTAAACCAGATCTGATTCAATTTTGTAAGAACAGTGGTGTCACCAATTTTATATAAATAACAGTCTTCACTCAGTTATCGAGACTCATATAACGTAGCCAGCATAAACAATAGCAAACACCTTCGTGTCTACTTTCCGAAAATGACAATATATAGCTGAGAATAGTTTGAACTTAAACAAATTACTGATAGAAGCGGAAAAAATTTAGCATCCTTACAAAAAAGTATTCTTACGAGAAACAAGTCGAAGTGGTGTGTGCGAATTCAATGCTATTTTCGTCGGAAATACTACCACCTCCGAAGCGAATGTGTGTACATTGAAATAAAAGAATATCTCACTTCTTGTGAATTTTTTCGCGAGAAGTAACCGCGATGGATACGATACTAAAGTTTAATCTTACTCACAAGAAAAGCATCAGAGTGCTGAATCGTGCTAACAATGCTCATCTGATTTCGTCACTATAGTTGGAAAAACTTCATCATATTTCTTTATTAGTTTTAGAAATTCTGCTGTTAACAAAAATGAGGAATCCTGGTCGTTGGAAGAAGTTGTTGAAAGATGCGAGGTTTTTTGAGGTTTCTCGTCATTTATTAAAAAGCGAAGGTGTTTTTAAGTTATTCTTCCATGTTGGATAGTATACTTTCGATGAAGCACGAACAAGTTTTCGTAGAAGCAACTCTTGCGCACAATTTATTACTGTCTGAAACTGTTCAGAGAGTTGTGTTGACTGCCAGACAAGGAATTACTAGAAACTAAAGTATTTCAGATTTCGCAATGACATTTTTATTGCAAGCAAAGTAACCAACAATTAAACGAGCAGTTTTTTAATAATTGAACGAAAAAAAACAAAAGAAACGTGTTTACCTCACGTAGAAGAGAACAGAATAAGACAATATGGAAAAACATTTATATGGATCGGTTAAATATCTTGCATAGAAGATATAACATAAAAGAAACGAATTTTTCTCGGTTGAATGATGGCAAAGTGCTAAATTATACATCTCACTTAAACAATCATCGATTTTTATACCAGTACGAAGAATAAGCAAAAAGAAAAGCGAAACTTGTGCATCTGCTGTTTTTAATCCTATTGACATATCATCCTAAAGGATTGAAAAAGAGAGTCAACAAAACAAAACAACAGAATAAAGGACGATTATAAACCAAAGGAAAGCACGAAACGTATTACACGACAGTAAAAAGTTCTAGCAGCCATGATGAATTTTTGTTTATTTACAAAAGAGACAGAAAACAGTATTGGCATATCAACTACACAAAATAAAAAGTACAGGATAATGTTCAAGCTTTTGACCGGTAAAAAATAATAATATTAGTAATAAAATCTTCAAAATGAAACTTAATAAAGACCACAATGACAGAGCTTACTTAAAATCAATAAAGATATACCAGAAGAAAAACGAGAAAAAAATGTTATTTAAATTATAAAAAACAACAATGACAATGATGAACTGACTAGGCAATGATATACATCCCACCAGCTAGAAGGATGTAAGCTCTATTACTCACGAAAATCAAAAAATAAACAAAAATATGTATTTCACAATATTTAAATAGCGCCAAAACAAAAAGAATGGTACAAAACCGTAAACACCTTTATTTTTCTGATTTAAAAAATTTGTCTGTTTTGCCTACAGACTGAACAAATGTAAAGCTGACTTCTAAATTACATAACTCAATATTCCTGCAATATAGATAAAACTTTTTTATCTTTGAACTGTATGAAGATTTTTCACCGGAATATTAATCAAAATAGCCAGACGAGAAAAACAAACTTTTTGAATTGCAATCAATGAAAAAACAAAAAAAAAGGGAACAATCACTTAGATTTAAGAAAAAAGCAAACTTTACTACACATAAATAGATGAATATCACAGGTAAATTGTTCTTCCTAGATAGATATCATTATTTCGACAGATAAGGAACATGAACTAAACGAATCGCTTGAGCGGCCGGCTGCTGAGCTGGATGAGCTAAAACTAGTTGACCCATTTGATTTTGTAGTAAGATTGGCCCACATACACCATGTTGCGCTGCCATCGAAGCTTGTAAAATTTGTTGTTGTTGTTGTTGTAACTGAAATTGTTGAACAACATTTGGACGAATCATTGGAATGTACTGTGTTTGCTGTGGCTGTGGTACAATTTGTGTCGGTTGATATTCAATTACATGTTGAATAGCGCCTTGTGGAGTGCGTATAGCAAATATTCGAGGTTGATGAGTACTTGGCATTAATACAGAGTGTTGCGGTTGTTGTGATTGTATAAGAACAGTTTGTCCATTAATTTGTATCTGATGATGATTGGTTGATGTTGGAACTATAATTGCTGGACCGTCTTGTGTATAAACTGTTGTTGCTGTTGGCTGATTATAGCTGATATTACTCGTATTATCATTAGAAGACGGTGTACTGGATGGAGACGATTGCTGGTCAAAAATAAGAGAGGAAGTAGACGATGGAATTGTATTAGTTTGTAATGGTATAGGAAACATAGATATTGTTGGACTAGGACCAAGTGCTATTGCAGAGAGGGGCGTAGGTTGTTGTGGAGATTGAGTTGGTAAAAAGGAAACATCCAACGTAGGAACGAATGCCTTTTGGTTTTCGAGTTGTTGAATTAGCTCCTGGGCCTGCGCTTCGGTTATTTCACCATGATTTTTAGCTGCATGAATTTCAGCACGATACTAGAAATAGGAAGAAAGATATTTGATAGATATTTTAGGATCCCAATACGATTAGAACTGTGGCTAAGGACTTTTTAAACAAAATTTACTTTCAAGCTCAGAGTAAATCGGATCTAAAAGTACTCGAGAATGCTACGAGTAATAATACAACATACTTCGTTCACTTGACTTACTTGCAAATCTTTAAAAACTTCTAAATTTTCTAAAGCATCCATATCGGGTGGTGTAAATTGATGATCTTTGCTGAGTTTTCTCTAAAAAAGAAAAATGTAAAGTTTAGGCATAAAACTCAAATTCCTAGAAAAAAATTACTTCTAATTCCGGCGGCAATTGAGGACCAATCATTGGTTCAAATTCTGCCAGCTGCTGTGTTTGATTTTTATTTGCATTTCCTCCTGTAGATGAAATATTTTGTTTTTTTACCGCATTTTTCACTAACACAAAAAACAACAACATATGTGTAAAAAAGAGATAGATTTAACTCCAAGCGATCTTTCGACATACTCTTCTTTCCCATCAACTGTTTTTGATTGTTAGTAACTGTAAGAACTATTGTTTCTTGTTTTATTATTGGCATGGCACCATTGTCAGGGTTCAATACTGGTGTGTCATTCGTTGGGAGAGAATTAACAAGTGATTTACTCGCATCTGTATTTGTGTTTGTTGTTGATAATATACTGTTCTGCTTTTCCATTTTGGGAATAGGATTCTTTTTAACTGGAATCTTTTTCATATTACGAGTCAAGTTCATATTATATTTTCCATTTCGAACAGGTGTAGGGGGTCGTCTTGTATTTAATCTCAAATCTTTTGAATTAGATCGATCTCGACCCCTTGCATTTGTAGCACCACGACCTCGTTGTTGTCTGGAATTTCTACCATCGCGACCACGGCCTTTGCCCCTTTTAGTGTTTTCACCTGATTTTTTGTGTGATCTCGAACGTGAGCTTGAACGACTGCTGGAACGAGATGTTGATGTTCTTGATCGTGTTGAGCGACGCTAAAATATATCAACGGCAAAAAGGATAACTTATTTATACAGCAAATATAAATGGTTTTTGGTAATACTAGCAGTGGTAAGATACCATCTACTTTAGATCATAATTAATGAATAACTTACAGAATATGTTGATCGAGTAGATCGTGAACTGTGTGAACTATGTCGACTGGACCGTTTCCTTTGTTTACGTGAACGTGATGAATCGTTGGAAGATGATGAACGTGTTCTTCTTGAACGAGACCGAGATCTGGAAGATGAGGTGGAGCGTGATGATCGACGACGGTGATACGATGAAGAACGAGAGGTGGTTGATGATTTTGAAGAATTGGATGTAGAAGAACTGGATGTACTTGAACGACTCGATTTCCGTCTATGATGTCTGTGACTTAGTTTGCTTGATGATGGTGAACGAGAACGAGATGGTCTCTTTTTGTTGTCACTTTCACTTTTTACTATTGATTTTTGTTCATGATCTCCACTCGTTTTTTCTTTATTTAATAAAACTTCTTTTGATGTAGAGTTGTCAACTTGTTGATCTTCTTTGGAAACATCTATATAATTAAATAAAACAAATCATCATTACATCATAATCATCAACTCACTGAAAAGTAACACAAATGGAGCAAAGCTACAGAATCTATCTAAGGCGCAGAATATTTAATATTGTTAGCAAGTTATGAGCGCAAAAGTGGTAGCAATGCATTTTGCATTACACAATTTCCCTATGAGATTATTGACTAGTTATCTATAAAAAACTACAAGATGGAGGGAAAATCGCTATAAGTTCAATCATAACGTGAACGCATTGACAACTTACTTTTCTCGTCATGCTCTTTTTTCACTTCGTGATGATGATGTTTCTTATCATCTTTCCTCTTTTGCTGATCTACGGATTTTTTTCGTTTTTTTGTCTTGGTTCGTGAAGGTGAAGAATTTCTTGATGACTGTGACGATGATGAATGCCGTGTAGATGTTTTATTTGGTGAATCGGCATTTGATGCAGATTTTGGATGCTTTTTTGTTTTCGTTTTTATCTCGGTCGACAATGCTGACGTAGGACTGGCTGTTATCGGCGAAGTTTTTAGTAACTGACTTTTTCTACGATTAAATTTAAATTGAATGGGACCACTGATTGTTTCTGTATGATTCATTTTACATATTTTTTCAATATGTTTATCTTCATCACTGCCACTTGTGTTACTACTATCCCATTTCATATTATTACTGTTTGCTTCTAATAGAGCTATTTGTTCTTCGAATTTTCTTTCTTCATCGGCTATTGCTGGTTGTGGCTGAGGACCTATGCATACTTGCCCTTCCACACGAAACTTTTTCAAATTTGGCTCATAATTTGCCGCTACTGAAGTACTGCTCGATAATTTATTATTATTGCGAATAACTGAAGGAACTAACTGTTCAAAATGTGATAGAATTGGGCCACGCTGTGTATTTCTAGAATTATTACGTAATATTGTCGGCATGATCGGTGGAGGCGAATGTTCGAGTGAGATATTTGTTTTTTGTATTGTAGATGTTGTCGGTTCAATATCATCATATAAGTCGAAAGTTTGTTGACGATCATGTGTAACTATTGACAAATTTTGTTTTTGAACAGTCAATTGTTTTGATAACGGGAGATTTGTTACGTTTGCGCTTGTTGTTTTTGCTTCAGACCGATGACGATGTGAACGTTTTTGCTCATCATCTTTCTCTTTGATTGTTGAAGATGATTTATGTTTTTTCTTTCGTTTTTTAGCTTTTCCTAAAAAATGAAATTTGATTTTAGAGATGAATACTGACAAAATGAAAAAAAGAAGAGTACCTTCATTGTCTTTGGCTTTCGTTTGTACACTATCTGATAGCAATGGCGCAGTAGCTTTCTTCTGAGCCGACAACTTTTCAATTGCTTGTTTATTATGGGTTTCATCATCATCAGACTTTGGTTTTAATGATGTAGATGAAGATATTCCCTACAAAAACAAGCTAAATATAGTAGTACAAAAATTTCATAATTATTCAACTTACATTGATATCTTTTGCTTTGTTATTATTATCATCTGTATGACTACTACCGTCAACCAACGTCCCTAAAACACAGAATAATACGATATTTTATTTGAATTCTTTTTGGACACTACTTAATTCATTTTTATAGCTAGTCTATAAAATGCATTTATGTTATTGCGTAAAAAAAGGAAAAGAGAGAAAGATATAAATAGGTATGTATACAATACATGTGAATGAATTTTTTTCTGGATAAAATTCCTGAAAAAAAAGCAGTACAACAATAAAATAAGATAAATTGAACACGAATTTGATTTATATAAAGAAAATGACGTTTTTTGCATTAATCATAGTTAATATACTTCTAGCGCTCATTTAAAAAGTGGTTACATACAACACATATATATACATAATATATATATATATGTATATACGTACACATAATCGATATAAAAATGTGTGCTTTGAGAGAGGTTCTAAATCATTTTGATCACTTAACATATTTATCTTTCATTTAACTTTTATTTAAACGTTGAAGTAGAACAAGAAGAGTCTAACATTCGTCTAATTAATCGTGTAATTATAAATACGTCATGCAGGTAACGTGCAGAACAAAATGCTTATTAATACCGTGTAACATGTTAACTTGTGAGCATTAATATGTGGTCATTAGTAAAAACACAGATCATCTATTCACTCATTATTGTCTTGTTAAAAATTCTCTACAAGCAACACAAACAGAAGCTGCTATTTACCATACAAATATAACAGAAACGTTCATTTATTTATTTATTTTGTTCATTATTCATTAAATGAGTATTTCATTACCTTGGGTTCTTTTTATTCAGAAAACTAAAGTTGAGAAAAAAAGCGAAGCAAATAGTTATCAAAATCTTGTTCATTCGAAATGTCACATTACCAACTTAGTCTGATCCTTAAAGTTATATGAATTTTTGAGCTATTAGATAAGCGTGTGTGTGTGTGTGTATGTGAGAGAGAGAGAGTGTGTGTAAGTGTACAGACCAAACATTGTTTATGCATATGTGTAGTAAAAGTAAATAACTACAAAGAAAATCTAGATATTATTTTTAAAAAAAATATCTCTCAAAGGATAAAATAATTTTTCACTACTGTAATACAGAAAATAAGCGAACACATACCAGCAATCAGAATTAGTCTGAATATAATAAAAAAGCAACATAAACAAATGTGTCTTTATCAACAGAATCAAACGTCGTTCATAAGTATTTATGTTAAAACATTTGCATAGCAATGTCAATTTGATTCCGGCGATAAATATATAAATCATATATATAATTAACCTCTACTTTTATCCTATACTACGTGATAAACAGCAATCAACAGGATAAAATAAATTAAGAAAATGATATTATAAACAATATCGAGCGTCTAATCATTATCTATCAAACAATCGTATTTGGTCTGCAAATAGAAATATCTAATTTTTAGACAAAATCTAGTTTATCAGTAGAAAAAAGTTTTTTTTTTCAAATTAAAAACTATTTCCTACTGAACATAGTATATGTAAAGCAGTAAAGATCATTATCACACAAATACAGTTACATTTTAACAAAAAGCAACACAACAAAACTATAGATGGATGGGGAGCACATTTCATGCTGTTTTAAGAGTTGACAATACGTCAAGAACCGTTCAATAAACAAATTATTTGAACAGTACTGATAAATGAATAATTGCGGTGATGGTTAAATAACATGCAGCTTAAGAATATTTCAAAATGTACACAGTTTGTGTATATAGAGGGGCTAAGCATCATTAAATCAAAGCATTTATATACGCACTTATTGAAACGTGGATTGAGTCGTCCTCTGAATAACGGATACCGTGTATTATATAATAATAGAGTGCAAAAAAAAATGAGTTCATGTTTTATAGCGTTACAACGATAATATAAAAATCAAAGCAAGCATAATTGAAAATAATTCTATTAAAAAATCAACATTTTCTAATATTCTAATAGAGAGTAGAGTAACAGTTATGTCATTGAATTAATTATACAATTTTATTTAAAAAATATTTCTGAGATTTTTTTCTATTAATTTTCTGATGGAAAAGAGCTCAACAATACTGTTACGAATCGAGCTATTATGAAAAAGGAAAATCTTAATGCTTCTAAGCGCAAATGAAACAGAGAGCATAAGAAAGCATGGTGATAGTGACCTCCCACACCATAAACTTTGTTAAAATAGCACTTGAGACAAGAGCTCTATGTGCAGAAGAACTAGACATGTATTCTCTTACTTGTACTACATCACAGAAACAGAAGAAAAAGATCACTGTAAACTCTCGGTATGGAGGGAACTCTTGAAAAACGACTGTGGTCAAAAGACACTATATCTGACCAATATGTTCACATCTCGAACTGCTATTTAGTCCATTAAAAACAAAAACACTAACAAGTAAAAAACATAGAATGCTTTCATTTTTCGCGAAAGAAAAATCATACGTATTTTCTACACATTATGCATAAGTATCTCTCGATTCAAATGATATAGAAATCAAATCATCTAAAAAAACCTAATTATACCAGTGAAACAATTATAATCTGAAAAACATTGTAAAAAAAAGCATGCAGAAAAAAAATGATACAGATGTTCAAGAATTTTTTAATTATAATAATCACATTTTGCATAACTCATCCAAATAGACAGCTAACATTTTTTAGGAAACCGGTTAGTAATCAACAGAAGGCATTAAGCAAAGTAATTAGTAAAGCTCTTGCAACATGCAAAATATAAAGCGTGAAAGAGACAAACACACACAATCACAAAACTGTTAACCCCAACCGAAATTCAATAGAAGAAAAGCATCAAGAACAAACAAATTTTATCATTATTAGTTTCTAAATTATTTATGTTAGAAAATGCTTGTTTTTTTCTTCTCTTTAAATACATATACGCATACTCAGACAACAAAATGAATATTTTTACTTTGATAGAGAATATAGATATACCATATCCATAGGTGCATAGAGAGAAAAAAACAACAACAACAAAATACATTTATTAGCGGTCACTGTCGCTGCCACTACACAAAAAGCAACCCTCTTCCAACTGAAATAGGACACCGTTGAGCTTAGTCGAATTACTTCTAACATTCATGCACTTAACCTCTGATAAAAGAAGATGAAATTCTCAGCTTATCATAACGTATAGAAAAGACAATAGTCAAGGAAAAGAAAACGGTTGTTTATTAACGATGCGCATTGAACAAAATTGTTTTCAAAAATAAGAAACATTTTTGGTATTTTTTTTTGTTGTAGTTGTGTATAACTTACGTTATGTTTTTGATGCCTATGCATATAAACTAGGAAAAAAACAAGAAAAAGTGTTTTTTTGTAAATAACAGAGGTGTTACCTTTTTAGACCAAAACACTAGAATGAATGGCAAATTGGCAACGATTAGTTTACTTAGACAATTAATAATCCTGACAGCAACAAAGCGTTGTTGATCCTACGTTCTTCCTGCTGAAGAACAGTAGATTAGATGACAATAATATTCTTCTTTTTTTTATAATGAGAAATTTTTCATTATAAAAAAAAGAATTTGGTCCTGCCTCTATCTGTCTTCTATAATTTTCTCGATGTAAGACGTGCCAATAAGTGTTCAAACGCCAAATAATACATAATTTATACTATTATTGAAATACTTGTTTACCTTTGTTAGACTGTTGTGGTATTGATCGACCACTGTCAGATTTTGAATTCATGGTAACTTTTTGACGAAATGTAAACAATCACTCTTAAAGAAAAAACATGTAAATATTTCCAGAGATACTTTTTTACCTATACTTACTGTAATAGTAGACAAATAAACAGACGTAATAGTTAAGTCATATTGGAAATACACAATTAAAGTAGATGAGTAAGACTCAGACTTTCAATTATACAGTTAAAATCTAAAAGAATAGTTCGTGGTTTAGAATAGTATGTACTTCGATTTAATTGTGGAGGATAAGAAAAATAAAAGTCAAGCACAAAAGCAACAGATATGGAGCAGAAACGGCACAGAAAGGCTTCAATGAGGTAAGCAAAATTATTTTAATCCTAATGAATTATCTGAACAACCACAGTTTTCTCTATATGCAAAGTTACCCTACGGAAACAAGGATTTAAGAATTGCTTAAAAGTTGATCTCTCAGCAAACACACAATAGTTTTCAGTAGTACAATTGTTCGGAAAATATTTATCCATCAACTCATAGTTGACATGTGCTTGTAATAAGACAGCAATCACTATTTCAAAGCTTATTAATTATTATATCGTATAGAATAAGCAGAAATGTAAAAACCATTTCGATGATGCACGCATCTGTCCAAAGAGGCACTTCGCTAGACAAAACAGCGTATTGATCGATTAGTTGAGGACAGGTAAACGAACGATGTCGCACCAGTACGATGGTTTGACATGGATTTAGACCAACACATGCTACAATGAATATAGCACAAAAGAAAGCGGTAATACAGCATTAGATGTAGTTAGTTTGTTAGTTTGTGTTTCTTTTTTTATTATAATTTGGTACAGAAATCTGGAAAAGAAATATGTAAGAGAACGAGGATTGGAAAGGAGGCTAGAGGAAGGGCATGGACGGGCAAACATGGTTACCGTCCCGCATTGAACTCTATGGGGACCGTATCACAAAAAAATTTAAGTCTGACTTAAGTCTAGACTTTGACTTAAATTTTTTACTTACGACCCTCGGGTTTCAATGTAAAACATATTAGAGTGATATCAAAACCGTATTCTACCACGCAGTTTTCCAAAATTCCATCATGAGCTTTTTGGTGCCTGTAGTCCTCCTCAGGATTTAGGGAACAGTTTTTCAACAACCTTGACAAAACGACATGGACTAGAGGGGATTTTTGACGCTGATCACGAATATTACCCTTAGAACGTGGAAAAATATCTTTTTGGAAAAAATCAATTTTTACTGTAAGATGGCTTTAGCCTACCATCATTATCAGAATGCGATCTAAAACATTAGAAATGTGTAACGGTGTTTGTTCTTTCAGAATTTGTGTTTTTGTTACCGTATTCTAAGGAAACCTAGAAACACTACACTATATTATGCAATTCAATAGACTTTAAATGACGTACAATGACGAATGACGAACAAAATTCCCATTGATTTTTCAGTTTTTTGAAATACTGAAGACGCCTTTTTCGTGGATGTAGTTTGGATCTATTCTAACTGAGTTATGAATTTTCTAGTTTAATGTGGAAACAGGCAAAAATCGGTTATTTTAGCTGATATAGGTTTCCACTACTCAGGGCGAGCAATCGTATATCAAGATTTCCTATGGTCTTATATGGTCTTATAAGATCTTACAAGATCTTATTCCAAGAAACCATAAGATTTCAAAGGATCTCGTGACTTCTTATAAGATCTTGTAAGATTTTATATGATATCTTTGTAAAATTTTATAACATTTTATAAGAACAATGATCTTACAAGAGCTTGTAAGATCTTATAAGACCATAACTTTTGAAGCTGTAAGATCTCACAAGATCACATAAGAATACATCAGAACTTAAAAGATTATGTGTCTGATCGTGTTCTATAAATTTCTAGATCCTCTTAAAAAAGGATCTTTCTCTATTCATAATATTTTCTAGCATAGGTAGGACACAAACCCTAGTCGAGACTCCCGGCAAAACTCCCACGGGACTCCTGTCACGGGTCCTGCGGGAGTCAGGTGGGACTTTCAATGGATTTCTCAGGACTCCTGAGGACTCCCGTGGGACTTTGAGGACTTTCGTTGGACTCCCGCAGGACTCGAAAATTCCACAGGAGTCCTGAAAAATTCCTTGAAAGTTCCACCTGACTCCCGCAGGACCCCGTGACAGGAGTCCCGTGGGAGTTTTGCCGGGAGTCTCGACTAGGGAACGTCCTTAAGATCATGTTTAACCACGTTCCTCATAGCCATGCACTTTATTTGCGCTCAGCTGATGTGTGAAGACAAAGAAAGAAAGAAATTCTAAGTTTTATCATAAGAACTGTGTTATATATATACTCAATATCACAGCAAAATTTATGTGGTACGATCGACTCATCGATTCTTGCAAGATCATATAAGATCTTATAACAAGAAATCGTATGATCTTGCGATAAGAAATAAATACAAGTGACGTCTCTCAATTGCAAGATCTTGTAAGATCTTGTCACGTCTTATGAGCTGATCATGTAAGATCTTATGACAAGAAGTTACAAGATTCTGCAGGATCTTACAACATCTTAAGACAAGATCTTGTAAGATCATGCAGTAAAATCTTGTTACAAGATTTCATAAGAAAACGGCAGATCTTGTAAGATCACCTGAGTAGGTTTTTGAACCTTTTTGGACACAACAACATTGCCATGAGAGTCTGGAGGGTCGATAACCTATGTTCCATGCATTTTGGCAGTTCCCAAACATGAAGTTTATCTATATAGATAGGTCCTCGAAAACACCTTATAGCGTCCGAACCGTGGTAGATGGAGACTTGCAAGTTGCGTAGAATTAAAGAGGACAGCTCCGTGGATCGAATCCATATCTCAGAATCAAAAATTTAACGCTTTTTGGTGGAGATTGGATACCCTAGATATTTACAGTGAAACGTACACCGGGTGGACCTTCTGTCGCATTTTTTCACAGAATCATGTTTCCCGGTGTCTTCTATCGATTACTGAAAACCATAAGTTTCTACCTCTTCTCTTCAAAAGTTATTCAAGAAACATCCGAGTACCTTATATTTTGAAATAGATAGTAGTTTCGGCTTTGGCTAAGGATGATCGTCACGGGGATCGAGCAACCGAAAGAGGCCTGAAATAGAATATAATCATGTTCAGTTCATAAACATTAGATATATGCTTAAACCTTTATGGAAAACTAATGTAAAGTGATGTAGTTATGTTAAAACCATTAAAGCCCCATAAAAACCTGATATTCCCCGTTTTCTTACTATCGCCTGCAATTTTTTTCTCTTTTGACAAGCTGAGTAGATAGAGCATAAAAAGTTGTACCTAATGTGATACTTTCGCATTGTTTCCAGGTTTCCTTAGAATACGGTAACAAAAACACTTAGATGAGTCCGAAGTTTGTTATAGTTTTGGTCCTTTTTTGGTAATTTCGGGCATTTTACAAAAATCGCCTCTAGTCCATGTCGTTTTGTCAAGATTGTTGACAAACTGTTCCCTAAATCCTGAGGAGGACTACAGGCACCCAAAAACCCATGGTGGAATACTCGGCCGCCCATGCCCTTTGGCTATTCGTAGACAAATTCTTGAATCAACTACATTTATAAGGAAGTTTCCTGTTTAACATCATATTCAACAACAAAACATAAATAAAATTTTGTTTACATACAACATTCGAATAAATTTAAATTTATTTTATAAATTTAAAAAACTTTTAAATTTTTACCACACAAAACAAAACAATATATTCATGAATTATCTTTTGTTGACTTTTTTCGTTTTAATTCACACATAATCGTATTCGATAACATATAGAAACATTCACTGAAACTATAATTGTTCTGTCCTTCACTGAAATCAATTTCGTTCAATGCACCAAGTGTTAGAATATAACTGCATGCAATACGTAGTATACTCAATCTACTCAGCTTCGGTTGATCTGGATACATCGGGATAACTTGACGCAATGATTCAAATGCATGTGTCAAATTATGAACGCGTTCTCGTTCTCTAGCGTTAGCTTCGAGACGTTTTTCATAACTGAGACGTGGTCGTTTCGAATTGTTGCCTATATGTATACGATGTAATTGATTCTCTTGAAGACCATCATTGTCTTCATTTCCTTCGCTATAGTCTGATTCAATATCACTTACAACTTCGTTCGTTGAATCATCATTAATAAGTGGTGTTTCCGTGTAATATTTCGAAGCCTTAAGATTTTTTGTTTTTGACTTTATATGAAGTAAAGATTGTTGAATTATTTTTTGCTCAAATGATATTCGATCATAATTATCTAGAGTTTTATACAAATCTACTTCTTGTAGTTGATCAACAACAACAGACGACGAAGATGTTAAAATAGTTATGGGCTTGACGTTTTCTGGTGGTGTAAGCCCTTTACGTTCATAAATTAATTCTGTCAAATTTTTTGATGGTTTTAAAGATTTCCGTGATCGCTTAATGATAATTTTTGAAATAGAATTTTCATGTTGTGAGTTGGTATCGGTATCGACGGGTTCATTTTTCACATGTATCATATTGATGTTTAAGTTTTAAGCGTATACTCTAAATAAAGAAAAATTAAAGATTAAAGAAGAAATTTAGGAAATTCAAATAAATTTACATTGTATTAAGATTAAATATAGACTTTCATGTGAGTATTCAAAAACATGTTTGTAAAATTATTGTGAGATCAAGCCAATGTTCAAAGATTCTTTTTTCAAAATATTTCAAACATTCACGTTATTTTTAACAAATAGAAATTTTGTTACTAGAAAGCATATCGAGAAGAAAAACTTTTGATTTTATTTGTGCAAGCAGTTCTAGCTATGAACAAAGGTGGAACATAATATAGAACAAGTAAACGTTGTTAATATGAAATGACTAATAGAATTTTAAAAAATCAACAGCTGACGTTAGCATATGGTACAAAATGGCTCAGTTATTACTTACTTATCTATATAGTTGTTGTCGGTTACTTATAAACAAGTTGAAATTTATCTGTCGACAATCAATTTCTTTTTTAATTCACTCGTTTATTACCGTGTCGCGTTTATTTTTATTCTCTTTACATATGTTCATTCTAATTCTATATGTTCAATGCGTAATAAATATGTTTTCAATACTAGGGATAGAGAAAGAACAAGATCACCATATATATACACACATCTATTATTTCCATCTTTTATCTTTATAAAAAATATGTAGTCTAATTCATGAATGGAATGAGAAGAGTTACTGACGGAATAGTAATCGTGTATAGTTCGAAGATAAAAATGTCTATGTATACTATTACTATCAATATATACCACACAGACAGAATATTTCATCTGAGAATTTTCTGTTTTTTTTTTGTTTTTTTTTCTTCTTTTTTTTACTCTCATCGAATTGCATAGAACACATGTTCACACGGATACATTTGGAAACATGCATGCACACATGCCAAAAATAAAAAAGCATCATTCAACAAATAAAAAGCGATAGATGGATCTATGCTATTGATGTTCTCTTTCTTTGGTAGTCCACACTATGGAGCAAGAAATGCAATGTTTTCTTTTATTTTTAAATTTTCTATTTATTAGCGAAAAGACGACAAAGATCATATTTTTTATATTCCCTGTCTCTCTTTTTTGATGAGCAGGTGTGTGTGTGTGTGTGTGTGTGTCTGTATGCTTGTATAGATCTCCTTTTTATACAATCAGACAGTGGATAAAAAAAGGATTTTTCATCGATATTAATAATATACTATATACAAACAAATGTTAGAGTTGAAGAACAAAAAAGTGAAAGTAGATAGAACAGAAATGCAGAAGTAGAACAGATGCGCACAATGTTATCAAGAAGAATTATTTGTGTTTATTAGAAAATATGACACTAAAATAGCAAAAAACATCTAGTAAAAGAAATTGAGCATTGGTGACGTTGTATCATACATCTCTTGTGATATAATGAAGCATCAAAAGGAATATAGGATTTGGAAATCAAATATTCAAAATTAAACCGAATAGTATGAAATGAACGTCTAAAAAAGGTTTTGGAAAGATTACAACAAATATTTTTGACTATTAAGCTAAATTTGGCAAAGTATCAAGCATTCCTAGTGAAACTTGTGTTTTTTTCTTCATATGAGACTTGACCTTTTGTCATTTGTGTTGAAAATATTTTATACACAAAATAGAACAACACATCTGTTAAAATTTTGATTCTGAATAGATAAGCGTGATTATAGTGAGAAATCAAAAACATGAATAGTTACATTCAGTCGTGCGCTATAGATAGTTTAATAGATGCTAATTAATACGAAATAAAAGTCGGATTATAAATAGTTAAAAGTTCTTTTCTATTCCATAATGACATAGTAAAACATTGGATACGTAGAAACGGTCGACAAGATACGTCATCGTGGAAAACAAACATTAAATATTTCTGGCAAATACTTTCGTTTGACCTAAAGGATTGGTGCACCCTAAAGATACGCCGATTTTTCACAAAAGTAAAAAACCCGTCGAATGTAATAAAGTCGTTCGATATGTTTATTTGTTCAAATAAAAGTTAAGGATTTTTAAGCGGCATAAGTAAAACCAATATATCTTTTTCCAAACAACTCGTCATTTTTTAGTACTTACCTACAGAAGCGTTGCTTAACCAGATGTAATACAACGGTTTCATCGGCCTAAAATACCTTACGAATCAATCGAGGCAAATGTTTTACAACTAAGAGTTTATTTTTATCGACTATTTCTTATACAATGAAAAGGAAAAAATTTCAATAACGATTCCAGAAGCCCTGCTTACGAAGGATGACACTTGATTAAATATAGAGATTTTGATCTCTTAATTCCATTATATATCGGTGTTCGAAAATAAAATGAACTAATATTATACATTCTTTACAATCATTTCATTATTTATGCACCAAAAATAGGAGAAGCTCCGATGACACCAGATGTTGGGGGCGAAATCATGGCAGTAGCAAAGATTTGATTCGACGGATTTAGTCCACCTGGTCGTACCATTTGTATAAATTGTTGTGGTTGTCGTTGATTTCCTAGTATAACTGTTCCCGGTTGACAGTTTAAAGATGTCGCTGAAAATTGTTGAACGTTTCTGGCATCTGGAATTATAGAAACTAATCCAGGTGGTTGTACAGCTATATTATTTGTCATATATTTCTAAAAAATAACTGACGTATTAATTTTTTATAATGCCTATTTTGTGAACAGATTTAGAACTGAAGTTACATTTCTTCCAGTTAATAAAATAATTACACAGTCCCCTAGTTCTTATTTGACTTTAACTATTTGATATTTTCCTATTCTATGTTGGACTAATTTAAATAAAACGACTTACAACCGGTACTTGTTCGGTGACTACTTGAGGTGGTGGATAAATATCTTGTATGTACTCCGTTACTTGTAATCGTTGTTGTTGTTGTTGTTGTACTGGTGCTTGAATAACTATAGGAATTATAATCGGTTGAACTGGTGAAGATCTACAACGTCGTCGTCTGTGCTGACGAATTATGATTGGTTTTTCGACAATATGTTGTGTATGACGATATGATGGAGAAGAATAGTATCCCTAAAAGTCAAAAGATATGTTATTTTACTACCGCAGCTGTAACAGTAACTCACCTGTTCCATCTCCATTCTATCTCTCCATCTCCTTTCTATCGGGTACGGAACACCGACTGGTTGTTTGACATAAATGGGTTGAGGCACTGGATAAGGCTGCGGGACAGGAACACCTACCGGACAAGGAACGCCAACTTGTCTTTCCACAGGTACTCCTACTGGTTGTGGTACACAAACTCCAACAGGTCTATCGACAGGAATGATTATGGGTTGCTGAACAGGTACTCCAACAGGTCTATCGACAGGAATGATTATGGGTTGCTGAACAGGTACTCCAACAGGGACTGGGACGCCTACTGGTTGAATTGTATGTGGAATCGGCACATCATAAGGCTGAAGAATAGTTTTGTAATAAGGGACTTGAACAGGAACTGGACATGGGACAGGTTGCGGACAGGGAATATCGCAAGGAATCATCATCGATGGACAAAACGGAGAGCCATATCCTCCGGAGAATGCGGCACCATTGGCCCCAGAAAACATCTGTCCCTAATGACAATTATAATTGAAAGGAAAACCAATTAATTCAGATTGAGCAATACAATCGAAAATTCTAAAATGATATTGAAAAACTATATAACATGTATGAATGATATTATTAACTCAATTATATTTATTCTTGTCGATAAAAAGTATTAATGAGAAAAAAAATTTGATAATTGCTACTTTTACTCAACAATAACAGTAACCAATATGCTGATTAGTTTGCACTACAGCACTAATCCTAATGTTTTTTTGTAAAACAATTCTTTCACTATCTCTTTGTTGATTTTAAAGATTTTGATTTTCACGGATAGATAGAAAGAAAAAAAAAATCGATGTGCTTCAGGTATTTTGAACAAGAAATATGAGCGAACATACATATAATAATAAGCGTAGGTAATAGTATTATCTTCTCATATAAAATTTACCATTGTGTGTCGTAGTGTGAGCTCATTGTATGATACAATAAATTATCGCAGAAATACGCGATGGAACACATTGAAGAAAATAAGTTAACTTTTGAGAACAAAGGTATGTAAATTGTTGAGTGCAACTACCTCATCGATATAACAGTAGACTATCTACTGGATAGTCAAGGGCTTAACATCGTTTTATATTACACAATAGTTGATTAAATCGACATTAATGTTCTTAATAAGAAAAAATCTATCTTTTTGATCAACAACTAGCAATACAAAGAGAATGAAAAATTTATCCCATTATCGCAAAATCGACATTTTATACGCTGAACAGAATCATTAAATGCGCCACTATTCGTGCCAAAACGCGAAAAGTGATTTGAATAAAGAGATAATTTGCTGCCCGTTCATTCATTCAATAAGCTATTCAGAAAAAAAATTGGACAGATTCTGTTCAGCGTATAAAAAGTTGATTTTGTGATAATACTTTGACGTTATATATGGTAAAATTTGAATTTCAAATATTGAACAGAAATTGAATCAGTTATATTTAACAGTTATATGTATTGTGTTATGTGCTGTGAATTACTTAACAATTAGAGATTTTTTTCTCAATATTTATATGTCTCTCTTAATCATATAAAATGAGAAAATGTTGTGTAAAATACTATTTTTCTTTTCAGCCGAAACACCTTCAGTTTGACTGGAACTGACTGTCTAAACTTCATTATCATCTGTTGAACAATGATCTCTGTATCCAGTTGCCGATTGGTATCAATTATTTGTCTATCAATCTGAAACTACTTCTTTGGATATAAATTATTTTTCCAATTTTTCTTTCATATTATTTTACATCAATTGAAATACAGTAGATGCACTAACAAAAAATGATTCAATTCTATTTTAAAAATTTTCATGGATAAACTGTAGCATTCATGTTTCGTTTACTCTAAGTTTACTGCCAAATGGAAACAGACGTTACTAAATCTACAACATAGACTTAAATTTCAAATAAAAGGTTCACCGAAAAGAAAGAAAAAAACAGACAGGCAGAAAAGAAGGCTAAAACATAACGAATTACGTTTCACATGATTGCGTTAGTCAAAGGTTAACAAGAAAGAAAAATGAGCTTGTACAAATTTTATATTCAAGTTCAATTATCAGAAAAATTACGCATATAATACGTGTCAGATCAAGTCACTGTTTTTTGTTTGACAACTTTCATTTACACTGTAATACCTTACTAGTCTATAATAATTCGGTGTTCAATTAAACAGTTTTTACTGCCTATCACCTAAAGTCTGGACGACATTAGGTGACTAAATATTGTTCCTTTGAAATTTTTATATCTTAGAAATTATATTGGTAATAGAATATTACATAAAACTTTTAAAGCTGTGTTAACATATCATAGCTAATAATATAGTCTTATTTCGAATCATAAAACTCTAAATCATTATATTAATACCGATCATCTACTGGTCATCCGCTTATGTGAAATAATTAGTCAACTAAAAAAAATTCAGATATTGTTATCTAACAAATAATTGCCTCTTAAGTATTGTTATCTATATTGACATTGATGTTCTCTTTGATTCTCAGTAAAACATAAAACTGGAATATAAAAAAAAGTGAAAAAGAATTAAAAAATAAAATATAACTTAGAAAGTTTGAAAAAACTTGATCTAAAATACATCGATACTGAAACTACATAAACTGTAAGCTTTTAAATGCTATTACTGTTTAACTGAGATATAAATCTATTTTTCAAAGCTGACCGAAGTAAATGTAAAGAAAACAAAAATTTTCTTTTATAATACCACTAAACATGATTCTTCTTACTGTTCAAATATTCACCGGTTCACTTATAGTAGTAAACGTCATTTTCCTGAGTGTAAATGTTAACATTTATATGTTTTATCTTTTTGAACGTTATAAACATAATAAAGCAAATGTTTATTATCCCATGCATAGAGTTTTCCTTCATACGGATTATACGTCAATTGTACGAGATACTGAAATGGCACGTCAAAAGTAATTTTTGTTGTTGTAAACGATAGATTACTATAAATATCGTATACTGTATCGATATAAGATTTTTGTTTATTATAATGTTGTACACCGTAGAAGACACCATAGGCAATAAAACCTTGACTAAGACTCTGTGGATTGTATGGCAATTGCCAGGCTTTTTGTGTATCAAGTGTATCTGGATTAATTTTAGCTGCAATAAAATTTTTTGTTATTTGTTCTCTATATAATAGCCATAGACCGTTTTCATCAACTGAAAAATCATACCAACTTGATTGGGGTGTATTATATAACTAAATGAGAGAAGGAAATATGAACAATATTTATCTATCTACATAACAGAAAATAATATACCGGTTCACGATGAGCTGGTATTGTTACGCTTTGTGCCTCTGTTTCCGATACAAGATCAATACGAACTATTTTATTTTTATATTCAGCATTGTAGATAAAACTGCCTTGATAAACAACATGATTTACACCCGAATACGGATAAGGTAACTGAATAATACGTGTTGGCTTGTCATTAATCAAATTTATCTCGGTACTATATTCGTACAACGATGTACCTAATGGGTAAACTTTGAATACAATAAATGTGTCTGATCAATACGATTTTTATTATCCTACCAGTAACGTGTCGCGTGACATAGACTTTTTGAGCACCATCCGATGTTTTTGGCATGGGATCTTTCATCCAAGCCCCAAATGTATAGCTGTCCTGCTTTAACAATACCGGCGTACCGATAAATGAAAATACACATCGTTGAGCACGACTCAGCACAGCTAAAGTTAATATTTCGTTTAAGTTAACTTATCACCTCTAGTCTATAATTTTATCCTACCCTGTTTCCCATTTTTAAATTTTGGTGCATCAACGGGGGCAAGTGGAGAATATAATTTCTCGAATGATGGACAAGAACATACACCCTAAGTTTTTAAAGAAGAAAAATATCTCAAATTATTGAATTTATCACGAAGAATACGTACAGGTGGACCCGTATAACCCCGAGGACCTATTTCACCATGTGGGCCCATAGGACCTGGCATTCCTAAAAAAAGATAGAACGATTAACATTTCCTGATCGATAAAAAGTATATGTATTTTGACGAATAGCAAAGAACAGTCTGAAAGGTATTTGACTGATGTCTGGAAAAAGAAATTATTTGCAAAATAATCAGATACCAGATCAAATATTAGACGTGAATATTTCTCTGTATTCAAGAGTTACCTGGTTCACCGCGAATGGATTCGCCTGGATCTCCTTTATGGCCTAAAATATGTGAAAATGAGATGAAACAAGAGGCTCTATATTCTATCAATCAGCACATACCAATTGGACCTGGATATCCGGGGAATCCAGGCTCGCCCTTTATTGAAAAACCAGACAGACCTGAAAAAAAGTTCTTCTGTTCTATGATTGGATAGTCAAGTGGATTCAGACTAACCCGGCGGGCCACGGGGTCCAATTTCACCTCTCTCTCCTTTGGGTCCTCGAAAAGCTGAAATACAATCGACAATTATTTCGTTGTACGATGTTGAATATTCGAAACCTTCTTACCTTCATTATCTATCACTAGTTTTTTACAATGATCAATAGACTTTGTACAAAATGTGGTCATAGCCACTGGCTAAAAAGCGAGAAGAGTTAGAGTATTTTAGTTACTAGTCTGATATTCTTTCTCTCTCTTACTGGAACTTTGAAATGTATTGATCCCACCAGTAGATCTGATGGTCTGTTTCCTTTGCCCACATGTGTTCCTATTTTGGGTGCTGTTTGTCTCGATTGTCTCCTTAATCCGTCAAACGACATAATACTAATTTGTGATTGATCAATAGATGTCAAACGTTGTTTTAATAGTTTTGTTTCGTCATTTAATATATCAATATGACTCTGTACAGATCGAGAAAAGTGTATAAAATAGATGCACCATGTTGTTGTTAAAATAGCGATTAATAAATACAATATGATAATATGGATACGAGACGGTGTGTCGTATCGCTGATTAATATGTAATACTTTTCCCGACATAATTACAAATTTAGATCTATCTTATTTGACATAGTTGTTCAAGCATTGCTATTTAATTTATATTATTAACTGTGGTTCTAAAGTGCATATGGATAATTGAAACAGTACGAATTGAATAATTTTATCAGTACATATGATTATGCTTTTAGCTATTTCATTAGGATAAAATGAAAATCTTTTCAATTCTTCTATGATGTGAAATCTTACGTTTTTGAGCAATGTTTCACTTTATCTGACATCATAATTAAATACAACTATTCTCATATATAATCATTTTCTTACATTTGATTTCTGTAAATATTATGTATGAATACTGGCACACATAATAATGTTCCAAATAACTCCTGATTCAACGAGATAAAGAATTTTTCGTTCTTGCTATCAAAATGTAGTATTGAATATCAGCAGTCAATGGTATAAGTTTCAAGTATTGACTCTTACTAGTTAAAAAGCCACAGCCATGTTACGAACGACAATAGTTTTTGTAATTTTGAACTATTCTTAACCATACAATAGTGTAACATTCTAAACACGACAAACTTAAAAAGTCAACAGTCGTTTCCTTTATTATAACATGGATATCATCTGTGCATCATCATATCCATGTAAAATTTCAATTAGAAATTTTGAAAATCTATATCCAACTTAGAAAGTAATTCACAATGAATTTGGTCACTTTTTCAAGAGGTGAATGTTGATTCTTTAAGCTTGTTGTATTTAGAATGTTACACTATTGTGTGGTTGAGAATAGGTCAAAATAACAAAAACTATTGTCGTTCGTAATATGGCTGAGACTTCTTAACTGGTAAGAGTCAATACTTGAAATTTATACCATTGACTGCTGATATTTAATACGACATTTTGATAGCAAGAAAGAAAAATTCTTTATCCCATTGAATCAGAAGTAATTTGAAGTTTATTGAAAAACTAGACATATCTTGGAATTCATGTTCACACATTCATTAACGGGAAACATATCCTTAAGTGAACTAAAATTTCTTGTATGATCAGCAAATGATGAGATCAATATTCAAATATCAAGTTATTAATTACTAGTTGAGTTATAGATGTGGTGACCGTTTCTGTAATAACATAATGAAGATGATAGTCTATGATCAGATCATAATTTGATGTTAAATATTAAAATTTTTTTTTTTTTTATCAAGTAAAATGAACGATCTATTGATATTTTAAAAGAGATGTGTATACGCTTCTTTTGCAGAACGCCAAAAGTATAGCGTTATCAAACTCATTTCATTTTTTAAAAATGTGTCTCTGAGTTTATTCGTGTCTATTGATTTCTTCCATTAGTCTATCTCAAAAAATTATAGAAGTAATAGAAAAAGAAAGAAATATTTTGATCCCAACCTTATTTTGTTGTCAAATTAATTTTATTGTCATCTAATGTGTCGTTAAGCATGTATAAATAATTGAAAATTATCGTTGATATAAATAAATTCTCTCACATATACCAGAACCAATGTTCTTCTCTTCTTATTTTTTATTCTGTGTGATATGCATCACATCCATTCTACCTATAAAACAAACTCTGGATGCGTTCTTTTTCTTTCTTCTGTACATATTTCTGTTTGAAAAACTGAATAAGAAATAGAAAGAAGAAAAAAAAAACAATTAGAGACAATAGATATATAAATTCTTTCTGTTCCTATGTGATGATGTATCAATAAGATCATTTGCACATAACTTATCTAACAATATTATCTTAATAATGGAGAAGCAACTATAACAGCATAACATATACAAATTATATTGACATTTTTACGTTGTCATTTATTCTTTTTTATCATTTCTTATTGTCTATATTTCTTTGTTTTTTCGCTTTTGTTCTAGAATATGTTTCAAAACATGGATGACTTACAAAATATATAATTTCTTTTAAAAAAAATTTGTTCGATATTTTAAAGAATTTAACTTCTCATTTTACAGATTGTTGATTTTTCAATCTTTTTAGCTTTAATAGATTTGTTATATGAGATGTTTATTCTGATATATTTTCTTATTTTTCTATTATTCTTCTAGCATTGACAATACACATGAAAATTAATGAAATTTTGGTATCTAAGTTTGTATTTACGTCTTTAACTTACCCCTGATAATTTTATTTGAGATAAAGTTCTTTCATCTATATGGTTACTTTCTTAAAATAAATTAAGATTTTGTGTGGCTATTTATCTTTATATACATTAAGGATTATAAGTAACAATTTAGAGTACTGTGATGTTATAATAAAGAAATTTTGTCTTTTTTTTTACTTTTCTATGTAACTTTTTCATAAGACAAACAGCTTGATATCTATATACTACAAATTTTTCAATTAAGCCAGAACCGTCTTTTCTATTAGGTTGTTTTTTAATCACTGAATATTTTTCAAAAAACATGCGAACGATCCTCACATTTGCTTTTGTTGTTTAAAAAGCACAGGTGTTTAATAAATCACATTAAAAAGAAAATGTTTTCACATGTTATTTACATGTGCTTCAACAAACACAACAAAAAACCAATAAGAAGAATATGTTTACATAGTGTCAAACAGTGAAATTTTAAATGCTAAATCATATACATGAACCTAAAGATTGTTTAAAACAAATTATTTTTTGTTCGAAATGTAACGATGTTCTAACGGCATTTTGATTTATCTTTTCTAAGAGATGAATATTATATAATATAATCTACTAAACTATGATTTCTGCTTTTCGTAACACAACAAGAATGTTTATCAGTGTAATTCACAGGCTGACTTAGTTTTGAGGAAAAAAAATAGCAACTATTGATTTTAATTTTTATGCCATTAGAGACATTATGTGTTTTTCATTTTTCGAGTAATGATCCATATTCTGCACCCTAAGATGGGACAAGTTAACGGAAAATATACGTCGGATTTAGAAGATTTTCATATATTTTATTGCCGACGCCATTTTTTAAGGAGAATTTTGAGAACAAAATAAATTGTTTATTTCTTTGTTGAGAAAAAAATTTTCGTTAGTGAGGGAAAGACAAAAAGAAAAAGAAAATTCGTTGGTCAGAATAAGAAGAAATATATAAGAAAACATAAGGTTATTGATAATTGAGATTGTCAGGAATATTAGGAAAAAGAAAGCGGAAAAAAGATAAATTCGCTACCATAAAATTATAAGATATCTCTTTTAGGAATTTCGACAACTTGCTCCATGGAAAGATGCCTCCCGGACACTTGTCTCCCGTGTTTTTCCCTCCGGACATTTACCCGTCATGGACACTTGCCCACGCGAATACTTGCCCGCGTGGAAACTTGCTCCCGCCGATTAAAGCGAACACTTGCCCCTGCCACTTGTAGAGGGCACTTTTCTCTTAATCATTTTCTAGAATTGGACCTTTTCGGCATTGGACCTAGAAGCCTGTGATTCAATTATGTTTTAGTTAGTTCTTGAGGCGCTACAACCGTAATCGCCTTGTCTGTCTGATTATTTGTATTCATTCTGCTATGAAAAACGATGCTAAATTAAATAGAAGACCGGGTAGTTCGCGAAAATAATTGAGAGCAAACTGCTCTCCACAAGAAGGAGCAAGTGTCCGCTTTGATCGACTGAGGGCAACTGTCAGAAGAGCAAATGTCGGCGAGGGCAAATGTCTGTGGGGGCATCTGTTCGCAGAGGGCAAATGTCTCTCGAGCAAAAATCCGGAGGGCAAATGACCGGGGGCAAGTTGCCGTTTACCAACTACCCTCTTTTAGGTATCTGATGAAAGAAGAAAAAATAGCTTAACCTTACTTATACGAAAGTTTAATGTTTTTTTCTTCTAGGTCTACACCTAAGATAGATTTTATTCTAGTACCTGTACACTGCCGTCTATTGTGCTGGAAAGAGTTATTACTGACTCTTCTACCGTTGCTGCGCTTTTTGTTATTATTCAGTACGTACGAAGTCTGTCGATATTGCAACTTCTGCAAAGCACAATTGCTTTCTAGTTTGTATTTTAATTCAGTTTGGATGAATCTTAGCGAATATTCTTGTGTGCTGAATGCAAATGAAAGCGTGTTAAAGCTTACTTTTTACAAAAAGAACTTTTGAACGTGAGAAATTTTCTATTTGTGCAAGTTAATTAAATCCTTTGTATACACATGCGTATGCTAATTTAATTAAGTCGTAGTAGTTCAATCCCGCTCTCATGGATACAAATGCGATAGATTTGTTAGTAGACTTTAATTTTAAGATAGTTGCTTCAGCCAGTGATCTACAGTGGAATTTAATTAGGAACTACCTCCAGTTTTCTTCGATGTTAAACTTGTGCTGAAAAACCAAGTTATAGATGAAACCGACTCGACAGACATTCAAGTTGAATATGTGAAAATATCCACTGATAGAAGATATCGTTTACAATAAAATAATTTATTTGGTAAAAGGTGATGATATGGAAGACAAGAACAAAGCAAACGCACATAGACTTACTTGAACATATTAAAAATCAATGTGCTGCTACAAAAGTGTCACGTTGGAAAAAGTGAAGTAAAGAGCAATTTTTTAGCGGAACGTAACGAAAGAGTTAATAGAGAGGAAGAAATAGGTTGACGATACAGTAGTAGTTGTTAAGGTGAAAGAGCATGAATATTTCATGGTTTAAACACATAGATGACATAATATTAAGAGGAGAAGTTGATGAAATTGAATTTTGTATCAGACTTAATTGTTATTCAATCCGCAAAATTGGGAATAGAATAGTTGGTATGTGCTAACATAGAGCTTACATGAATATAATTTTTAGCGTATCAAAGATATTAGACAGAAACATGTCCAAAACCATCTGGATCACTTACACCGACTTTTGCCCAGAGCGTTCAGGTGGCAGATCTTTACAACAGTATCGATGAAGAAAATAATGCTCCATGGTCTCCAATTTAATTTGTTTTCTCGTTTAAAGCTGTTTTATTTACGACATTTTCAATAAATCTTATTTACAGTTCTTTTAAAGTGTTACCGTCGGTGGAAATCGATCACAGTATTTCGAGAACCGTTCTATATGAGCATATTTCTGAAAGCTTGTTTATAGCTTATTTTGAAGCATAGGAAATTCTCTCTCTTGATATATTTAAGTTCTTGTTAAGAGGCCGGAAGTCATACGAAAAGCTTGGGGTACAGGATGGCCGCTATTAGTTGGGATAGTAATGACTAATTATAAGAAATTTTTCTCAGCAGTTTTCCAAAAGAAGTTTTGGAAGTTTAAGCAGGTTCTGAATTGAAACGCGAAACATTTCCGATAATTCTAGACGATTTGTACTCAGAATTATATTGGATCATTTTCTTACAGAGAACGTTTTCTGTCATTCATAGAAAGATACTGTATCTACTCTAAATCATATTTTTATGCCACATTTGGTATTACAATTAAAACCTCTTTTCTATCGAAACCTTTTTCCTCAGTCATAGTATTTGGCATCACAATTAAATATCCCTTTGCAAGTAACAAACTCAGGTCTGAAAACAAAATTACTAAACACAATAAAACGAATCTATGCGACAATTTGAGAAATTCTTTATCAACAATCTAATTTTGTTCCATTTGATAATTAATTTAGCGATTCGAAACCACTGTCGCTATTTGTTGTAAACGGTGATTGTTTCCTTCTGCTCTGGTATCCTTCCGTAGTATTTAAGGGTGTTGTACTATTATTAGTGGATGGTTTCAATTGTGCTACAGATGGTTCCAAACCAACAACCCTCTTTAACATTGCCTGCAGTGACCATCTGTCATTTTGCAATAATTCAATTGTTGATACTGATATTGATGTTTTTTTTGAATTTTGTAGTGGTGGTTGATCAGGTAGCTTTTTCGATGATTTTTCTATACCAGTTGTATATGTATCTTGATTGGATGTCTCACTTTTAACCAATGATGGTTCATAGAAACCAGATGAAAAACTATCGTTACTATTTGGTAATGTTGTATTATGTCGTGTTGTTGGTCTGCTGGAAGACTGATTATTAGGTCGTAATTTTGTCGATGTTACAAATTCACGATGTTTTAATGCTAAAGTTTTATTTTCGTTTAAAAAATCTCGTTTATTATAGATAGACTTATCCATTATTTTTTCTTTTGATTTTGAGTCTTTCCATTGTTTATAAGCTTTTTGTGATAGTTTTGCATTATTCTCCATTTCATCGGCTAACATAGCCTGTTGTTCCTGTTTCAAAGATTGCTCGAGCAATGTTTTAACACATAATATTTGGTAACTTTGTTTTGCCCATTCTTCGTGAGACATAATACCTGATTTTCGACAATATGTAAGTTCTCTTAGTCGTTTATCATAATATTCCGATGCATAGATTCTTCTTGCCAATCGTTCATACTGATGTTTCTTGTCCATTACATCAGCGTATGCTCGCTCCTGAGAACCACAGGCATCTTTTGTAAATAGATCGATATTAAGCCAGTTATGAGCCGAATAACGATGAACTTCGAGGCCGTGTTTTGTCATTATATATCGAATTGTACCTTCTTTAGGAAAAGAACCGTTTTTTGTGGCACTACCACTACGATTATTTGTTCGTGATGCTGATTTTCTTGCCGATGAATGACGTGAAGATTGGTGAGATTTTGCATCATCTTTTAAATCTTCAGTTAAAAGTGAAGTCTTTCTAGTGGAATGAGTTATCGTATTCGCCGTCGTTGATATCGACGGTCTGCCTGCATTGTTATATGACCACGATACGCACTTTGACTTTGGATCCGGAGTTGATGATATATCCTTAAAAAAACAATGAAACGACATAAACCAATCAACATTTTATATACTGACCCCTTGCACTTCATTTTTCAAAAATATAAAAGAAATGTCCTCTTCACAAAGTTGTGCTATGGATTTTATCAATTTGGACACTGATATTTAGTCAGTAATGACAGAGTATATAGAGAGATTATTAGTCCACTTTTACGTCCAGATCTAACTTTCAACTTTGAGAAAGTTAAAAGATATAAATGTTAGAACATGAATTGTGAATACCATTGTTTTCAAATATTCCACTTTGTTCAATCTTGAATCGATATTCGTATTCATAAATCTTTTCTGGTTATTTCTATTGTATGGTATAAAATGTTTCAATTGAGAAAGATTGGATGCTCTGGCTGCTGTCAGTTTATCATAGACAGGATTTGCAATTATTTTCATCATTCTTTCTTTATCATCTAATAATGGATGATTAAGTTCTTTATCCAAACTGCTAGAAAAAAACGAAAGAAAAACAGAACATGATGATATTTCATATTAGTGTAACGAGAAAAACCTGTTGGTTATTGTACTATCCGTATCCACAACACTCATTTAATGGATCCTGATTTACTATGAAAAGTGAAATATTTCTACGAAATTGCGAAATGTTTTTTAATTTTATTACATATAAACAACCAAATAATCATGTATTATGTTTTATGTTTCTTTTTTGAGAAATCTTTATTTTTGTATATAGAGTTTTATTTAGAATAATCAAGAAAAAATATTCATTTGATTAATAGAATTAAAAAAAAACATGCAGAAAACACGAGTAAGATGATGATGACTTTTTCAGCACGATTTGCAAACTCAACGAAACCTGTCAGCAACGTTTGATTGTATTCATTGATTTAAATTCATATAGGAAACCTTTTTTTACAATAAGATTTTGTGTTTATATAATTTGAAAATTGTACACAACGAAAATGTTATTATGAGGAGTACACCTGACCGCAATAATACATCTGTTTGATGCTGTATACGAACAAGACAGGCTCACGCAGTTCACTCTACATCAGGAGTTAACAAAAGCAAAAAAGTTGAGGTTAAAATACTAAAATGATAGTACCATTTTAATCCTCTTAAAAATATTTCATGAAGATTAAAAAACCACATAAACGTACTCCACAGTAGTTTCAAATAACAAGATATCCTGTTCCATTAACATTTTTGTTTATAAAATGAATCGAAATACACACATATACACACAATATAAACAACTACTGTAATTAGTAACAGTATCAATGTTGTTTCTGAGTTGATAGTCACATTTTCTTCTTAGCTATTTTGAAAGAGAAAAAACTCGTATATTTTAGGAATTATTGTCAAAATATACAATAATATAATAGAAATCGAACACCACTCGAAATTCAATGATTTGAAGAGAATAATCATTTAAGAATTACACATGATTTTTCATTCTTGAAGTGTTAAAGAAAAAAATTGACGCTTGAATTTTGTAAGAAAGAATACGCTACTTAAAGAAAAATCAATTGAGTTTTGTTCTGTGTGCGATACATGAACAATTATATCATATTTACCATTTTTCACGTATTGATCGTGACAACATCTGTTCATTCTCACCAATTTAGCCTCTAGTTGCAACAAACATAACACTTCCTTTTCCAAGAGTCATCTTACTGCTGTTGGTTTAGTTCTTGTAACTACCCCACAAAAAATTAATAATATAATTCTTTTAAAAATATTTGTACAACAAGATCTCTACTCGATACAATGAAAAAAATCCGGTAAGAGAATTGACAATGAGTTGCCATGGATAACACTGACAATTTTTCGTATGTATTCTGCTGAACACTCTGGCAAAGATTATAATTGTAGACAGTATTTTGAATAAACTAACTAGAGAATGAATATGGGGCTATATCTTGTGACAAAAGGAAGTGAAGTGATGCACGATAATTCAACACTGAGGAAGGATGTCTTCCAGTGGAAGTTCTTGATTCAATAATGTGCACTTGTTTTAGTTTAGTTTCCGCCTTCTACTTTCACTTTTTTTATCAGGATAGGCTCTGGTTAAGGAAAGTTGTTAGGAGTGCTTTTATCGCACAATCCAACATGGAAATTTCAAAATTTATTATGTAACCAAAAGTGCAGATAGATGTTAGGCTCAATACATTTATCACCGCACCATCTTCTCTTCGTCTTCACATCTTTAAAACGTGCATAATGCCAGCCATGGACTGACTACTGTTCTGTTGTTTACAATTCTGCTAGAACAAGATCTTGGTAGATCGATCCTGTCTCGCAAATTCAAGTAGTAGTTTAGCTTAAAAGTGATTGAGGAAACTGTGGAGAGTAGGATTTTAATAAAGAATAGTAGTTTTGAGAAATGTATAAATTAAACAAGAAAACTTTAAAGCAAGTAATGAATTTGGTAACGGAAATGATAAGAAGAGAAACCAAAATGTAAAGTGAGTAGTCAGTATGGGCTAGAATAATCGACATAGTATATTATGTGACCTTGAACAATAGCTTCCCGTACTGAATGATAATGAAAAGCAAAAAAAAGTTTGAGCAAGCAAGTGGATCAATAGCAGGTAATTAATTAACTCAACAGACCAACAGATCTACTCAAAAACTATTGTTTTTATTTTACGCATATATCTGAGCATCTGTTTTACCATTGCTATCCGACAGGTACAAAACAAGTAACTTGTTTTCTACTGAACAGATTTTCTTAAGTTATTTTTATTTTGTTTGTTTAACAGTTGCTCACTACCTCTGATAATACCAACTCTTGAACGTGTTTTCTTCTCGAGATATAACCGTTATACTGTCGCATGCATCAGTTTTGATGTCACTTATCAAACATGGTTAAATTTTCTTGATAAATTATGTTTTTAACCCGCGCTCTAAGATTAACTTGAAGAAGATACATAGAGCTTTCACAATATCTAAATGGATTATTGACTTGTTTCTGGTCTCTAAAGGCGCTAGTTCAAATATTGTCGCCGCCGACAGTTGTATTGACTATTTTCTGTCCAGTGAGATTTAGCAGCCAAAACGAAACAAAAAGTTACCTTAAAGATTGAGGAACATTTCTAGAAAAAAATGAATGCAGTCCGTTGTTTAAACAAAGTCAAATACTTTCGAGGAACAAGCATTACCACTGAATATTCGGCTAAATTTTCAATTTTTTTTTCTCATATCTTTGTTGATATTCACTCTTTCCTTTTTTTCCGATGTGATTTTGACAAGGAGCAAACGGCACTCCGATACTTTGGTACTTTTGTACTCCCATTTGTACCCTCGTATTCCCATATTTACTTCGATACTCTTCACGCCACTCTGGAATACGGGAGCAAAATATTTTTATAACTATTAGAAACGCGTATTTAGATTACTTAAGTGACTGTAAACTAAGATTTCGCCCGTCATTTACCAAATGAACCTTTTTATCGAACTATAAAAATTTAATTAGTTTGGAGTATTTCGTGAACAGCAGACAGTATGATGAAGTTGGAGTATTTGTTGAAAAGTGAGTAACTTGATAAACGACTGGGTTGTTCGAAATTAAAAATCTGCATTTAATATTGAGTGGAGATTTTTATACTAGGCTCTAAAAAGTCTGCACTTCTTTTAGAGCTTTCTCAGTTTTTTATCTTTAAACATGATAAAAAATAAGAAAGGTAAAAAACAAAAATCCACTTCCAACATTTTATAAGTATGAATGTATACTTTGATCTCAAACTATAATAATATGTCTAACTCGCTCTGTCAATTTGTGATACCCGAAGCGTGTTTTTCTCGAAAGGTAGAGAACCGAAAATTATTTTGAAAGCATTATTTGATATCATCTATGCTTGGTAAAATTTTCGTCAAAATCTTTTCGTTGTAAACAATTTCTAAACAATAAATCAATAAGAATCTAGAAGACACCGAGAAACAAACTGCAATATTTTATAAATAATTTATGCAAAACCAGATATTTGTCAGACGACAATAAAAATCTAAGAGAAATGGAAACTTCGAATTGAAAGATATTGTAATGTGTCCAGTATTTTCTGTTTGTATTTTGCCTTCTGGCTTTATAAATCGTTTTGCTCTTTTCTTGAAAATAAACGTGTGTTCTACTTTGTTCATTACTATCTTGTTTTTATATGATATAAATTAAAAACAGCAAGCAATTTATTTATACCGTATAAATGAAAGTACTCAAATTTCTATCCCATTAAGAATTGAGTATTGATATATAGATATATATATATGGCTTTTAAACCGTTCGACTTTGATATTTTTTGATTTTGTTTGTAAATTGTGCATAAAAAGTTACTTTTTGAGTTTGTTAACGTAAACCATTACTGAAATATAGCCAAAATCAATTTCATAGAGGAATACACTACCTGTCAAGACTTCTTTACACATATAAAAAAAAATGCTTGCCTTTGTCCCAAATGTTCTGTTTTGCTTTTTGATTACTGAAAAAATTTAACTTTCCAACTCAAAATAAAACCGCATAAAATTAGGTATTCTTGACAATAGAATCTATCTAATTTTTGAGGATAAAACTTTTTAGAGCTGGAGTAAGAAATTGTTAACAAATCAACACCGCTGATCAAAGTTAATTATATTTCATTCGATTCATCTTATTGTAGCGAATCTGCCTATCAAAGTGAGAAATTCATTATGAAAATTTTGTTGTCCATTTACAGAGCAAAGATCGAGAGGAGGAATATTCTGTCTTTTGCTCAAAATTTCATATCATCGAAAGAAAAATAAAGTTTATGTAGGGTTGCGATCGCATGTGCCACAGCCTTACGGTAAAAAATGTGTCGTAAGTGGGTCTTGATGCCACAGATGATTGTGTTGTAGATTATGTTGCAATTTACGACACACTATTTTAGTGTGTGACGAAAATCTTGTTCTACATGACTATGGGAAAATTTGAGGATTTTTACTTCTCTCATCAACTACTATAAAAGTCACTAGATGGGATCTGGGGTATATCTACGTGGAAATAAATATCCACGGTGATGCATCATCAGCTTGTCTGTGGCCAGTAACACTTGAAATCTTGTGTAGTAATGGAATTTGACATGACGCCTTAGCACGCGAACCGGATGGCGTAACCAGTGGATACAGTCGGAAAATGATGAGAATATTGTCAAGGCAGTCAGAAAGGCGTGGTGAGGAATGAATAATAGTAGTCCTCTTTATTACACGATTTCAGGTTAAATTCAAATATTTTATTAAAAAATATATCTGAAAGTCTTAAAACATTCATACATAACATGAAAAAAGGAAAAACAACAAAAAAGGATGAAATAACAACAGCAATAAACACAATAAAATAAAAGACGTACGTGTATAAAATAGATGTACGAACAGGTGAGAAAATTAGACGACAACTTCATATACAAGTTTCTTTCCTTTAGTTGGCGTTGAATAACCTGATTCCTCTTCGCTTGAGATTCTTGACGTCAAATTCGAATTGGTTTGTGCTCGTCCCGTGGCATAGACGACTTGTCGTTGTGCTGTTGATGTTGTTGTGTCTGATGATACAGTTAATTTATGTAAAAATTGTTGAACATCAGCCACATCAGGTATACTTTTTTTCCTTACTGTCACTAATTGTTCGACTTCAGGACGATCGTAAAACTCACCATCAAGTTCAGATATTGAATGTGAAACAGCTGAATCGGAATTACTTGTACTAGGCATCCCAGAGTCAAAACACGTGGAGTTTTTTTCTAAATTGAAATAAAAACAGAATACTTTTAAAAACTTAAAAGAAAAGAATTTAATCAAATACTGTAGATGGAGATATCGATACCAAAGACAAAGCAGCCCTAATTTCTGCTATGAATTCGAGCTATTGTGAAGTTTTTACTCTATAAGTGAATAGCTCAGTTTGCCGTGTAAGAAAACATATCGTGCAGATTATGCGTTTGTGACACTTAGCGTATATGTGTATATGTGTGCACAGATATATTATCTCATATTATTTGTCCCGTATAGATATGTCATTTGACAAGAATAAAACAAAATTAAAGATTGGAAAACGAGAAATAGATGAAAATATTTCATATTGAGTTTGATATTAAAAAGACTCTATGAAAGCGCTTATAGAGATGGAAAAGTGCTAACTAATTATAAACTGATATCGCACACATCGTATATAGTACAAAAATGGAGCACGCATTACACACCACTCAAAAAAAACACAAGACAACGACACAGTTGTTGTTAATAATTACATTTCTTTTTTCAACCTGAACTGGATTTCAGGCCTCGTTTAACACTGGCAAAACCTGTTGTGATAACATCTGAAATAGATGTATATCACTATATACACTTTTCTGAACAAAATGAGTTTCTCCAACTGTGATGGACTGCACTAACCTTGTATTGAATAAACACCTTTGAAATCTTCAATTTGATTATGATGATAAAATGCATTATTGCCATTTGTTTTTTCTACAAAAAGATAATAGAAATAAAATTAGATTTTCCATTAGATTTGTTTCTGATTCATTGGACATACGTTCATTTCCTGTTGTTTGAGGATAATATAGACATGCATTTGTATTTGAACCATCTAACACTCTCACTGGCGTTGCATGAAAATTTTCAAAATTAGTATTTGGATAAGTTTGAGTACTAAAAACAAGACAATATAGACTGAATAATAATGATTTTATTGCTGATGATTAACTTACTGTGGCTTCAGTGCATCTAAACACAAGAGAAAACATATTAAAATTATGTGCGTAGAGGTTTAAAAAAGTCAGTGGAAAAATACCTGTTGAACTGCTTTGTTTCCTCTTGTGTCGTCGATAACAAACAGTAACAACAATCAGTAAAGCAATAGCGCATAAGCCAACAATTGCACCTAAAAATGACAGATTTTTGAGTATCATGAGAATATACAAATTCTACTAATCATAACTTACCAGTTAGAATTAGTATAAGTTCCGATGAATCTCCTGATAACGCTACACCAGTGGGAATTTGTACTGGATATGAACACACATCAGTTTGATTGTATAAACATAATCTCATTCGCAAATCAACATATTTAATTGTTAATGGTATACCGTCTGATTGAATAGTATTATCCAATAAAGTACATGAAATGTTTTCATCAGCACTACTATCTCCACTATCAACATAATCAGTATCGTCATTGGACGAAGAAACACTTGAGCGAGCATTATAGAGTTTAATACATAATTGTTGATTTTGAAATAACAATGTGTTTGAGTCCAAATGAAAACGTATTCGACTACGATCGACAGTATAAAATGCTTGTTGTATTGATGGAAAGTCTAAATACAATTAAAGTTTAAAACTAAATTCACAACAAATTTATTTCATTGCTATTTACCTTTAGCTCGGACGGGAGATTCATTGGTAAGAGCTATTGTACTTGTTGAATAGTCACTATAATCAAATAAAATGAAAATCATTGGTTTCACACTTCTAATTATTATTTTAGATCTTACCTAAAACCATACATATTTTTCGCACGAATTTTGACAAAATATTTCGTTTTTTCGTTGAGATCTAATAAAAACCCGATTATAGAATAGATACCATTAGAAGACATTAATTTTGCTTACCTGTAAAACGTAGATGAGTGACACTCGTTCGTTTTTCTTCAGTTTGATTTCCATTCAATAGAACATAAAATGTTTGAGGTGAACCACCAGCTGTTAAAACGAAAAGTTGATATTTGTTATCAATCTTCAAAAAAATGTTCTGTTGTGTTAAGAACTCACCGTAGCCAGCTGTCCAACTGACAGCGAAAGAAGAATGAGTAAGATTGACAATTTGTAATGCAAATGGTGGATCTGGGATTCCTAAAATAATGAGATATTCTTACTAACTCGATTGACTGTGTAAATAGAGATACAAACCTGGTCGTTGAAATTGAATAGAATAGTCATGTTGACCAAACGCATTTTTTGCTTGACAACGATATACTCCTAACATGGATGAATATGACGGTGGAACTGAAATTATATAAATATTCATTTAATCCATATGCCGTCTATATAGAAAAAGTGTGTTATTTACGATGAAGTTGGCTAACAATCACTGTGGCATTTAAACTATTCTCTTCTGTAAATGAACTTAATCGTTGTCCATTCGGTGCGTACCTAAAATATTAAAATTTGATTTTGATCTACACGATTAACCATGAGTCACTTACCAACTAATTTCTGGTTTTGGAAATGCGTCAACAGTGCACTCACACACTATGTCACGTCCATTGATCACAGCAAACTTTTTCTCTTTATTCAAAATAAATGGTGCATCTACAACAGAATACAAATATTTTCAATAGTAAATGTATTTTCTCGCATATATATTTTAATACTCACATTGTATCCATACATCAGATGACACATTTGATACTGCTTCTTTACGATCTGTGCCGGTATTTAACCAATTTTTTACTTCACACGTATATTTTCCAAAGTGAAGTCGATAAACAGCGGGTATCGTATATTCACTAAAATTTTGATTTGTTGAACATGATAAACTGGTTAATTCTTGATCAAAATGGAACCATCGAATATTGTGACACGATGGATTAGCATCAATTAAACATTTTAAACTTAATCGTTCCCCTTGAGTTAACGTTATTTTTGGTTGAAGAGACAATTTTGGTTTATCTATTTTCAATTAGAAAAATCTAAATAAGTGATCTTGGTTTTTGTAATCATTTCTTCTTACTTACACAATATTTCCACATTGATACTAGCTTCAGAGATGCCAACGGTATTTCTTACACGACACGTTAATTTTCCTCCATCTAATTGAGTAAAATTAGAGTATAATTGATCTTGATTTTGACCTAAAAAATACGACACTAAGTATCTAGACGTTTTTTTCATGAACACGACATATGCCGTTGAAGTAATTAACAGATGGTACTATTATATAGCGATCTGAGACTAAGACTTTTTTGGTATTATGAAACATATAATGACTATTACATTCGTAGCTTCTCTATCTATAGTTGCACGAATAATGCGTCTATACCAGAATTATTCTTCTCATTCTAAGGATAGATAGAAGACTAACATAATTAACGTTTGTTGTACACCCTCTGATCTATATTGCCTTTTAAGTAGTATTTTAAACTGTAGATAAACATTTATTTATTGTCAAATAAAATAAATAGTCTTTTTTATAATTAATACAAAGAAGGGATCATACGTTCACCTTCGAAACTCAAAGTAATTAGTTTAGAGTAATATTTTCTTAAATAAGTTGACCATTTTCAGGCACGCACTAGTAAAATTATTTTTTTATTTAAAAAATATTGAAGACAATCAAAAATGCGCTTGTCAATCAGTGTGCTCAGTTAAGTGCATGCTCAATTCTAACTGATATGAAGAATGATGAAAAACTGCTTCTAATAGTGTATATAATGCTCTTTCATACAAAAAGTTAATTAACTACAACAATTAGTCGTTTTGAGTGATGGAGAAATACTTTTGCCCATATTCAATAAGTATTATTATGGAACCTATTCTCTATCTAAAAATATTTTTGCAGTACATGTGATATAAACGTATTATAAATTCAAAGAAATATTGATCAGGACAAAATGATTGTGATGAAAATTTATCCGTATATATCTTTAACTCTTGCCTAACGTTTGCTAAGTCCCTTGCCCTAATGTTTTTCTGCAGAGTTTTCAAAACTAAATCTGTGAATCGTAAATCCATAAATTACTCTAATGCTTAGTGAACACTTATATATTTAGGATCTAACTCATTCACTTTTTAAAATTTCGCTTTTCGAAAATCTCGAAAACGCCTGTGTCGATTTCTAAACATTTTTCTCCGTACAGTAGAAGAAAATGTATATAAAAAATTGGACGCTGTCAGGATTTTATTTATTTGTCAGACAAACGAATTTATTCACCTAGGATGACGTAGAATAGAGAAACTTTGTCAAAAATTGAAAAGAAACAATAAAAGTGGCATTTTTAGATATCATTAGATAAAATCTATCAAAAACTTTGCATGGATGAAAAAGAGCATGGGTTCTAAGAGTAGATAAATACTCTGAGCTATCCAACAGCTTTCTAGAATCTTTGGAATTCTATACGATGCTGTGCGATCCTAAGGAAAGAAATCGCCTATTTTCCCTTGCAAAATATTCATCTTTCTGCAAACTCGTTTTCAGTAAGCAGAAAACCACTACAGTCAATTGTTATTAAGTAAATTTAGATGAGATCTAGAATTGTTTATCGGCTATATATACGTGTATTTTGTTTTAGAGACGTTTATAATCGACTTTAGGACAAAAATCTCATTTTTTTTCATTATTGCGAGAACATTTTCTGTGTTCTTCAATATTTGAATTGGAGTAGAATAGGTGTTTAGCAGGCGCAAATGTTTGTTACATAAAGTTATTGTTTGTACTTTCATTTTTCTAAAGAAAAACTATCCACTAGTGTATGACATTTGTCTAATCACTTTTACATCGTATGTTAGTGTGTGAGCGAGATAAGTATTGAAATACTCTTATTTGATAGATACTGCTCAGTTAATTCTACTATTTTGTATAAAAGTGTAAATTGAACAACTATCAACATTTCTTACAGTGTTAATTGATCTCAATATGTACATAAAGCTTTAAGTCAAACTACATTATATTGACATTTTTGTTTAAGAGTCTCCAAGTGATACTTGAACATTGATTAATATAGTTTTATGTAATTAAAACAGAAGAAACCTAAATTAATTGTAGTTCAGTTAAATACTAAGATTAAATCATGTTTTTTTTTATTTGACTCGAATTCTCTTCAAATATAAGACAGATGTTTGTTAATAAAAAAAAGGACCAAGAATATTTCAATTTAAACATAAATCATTTTATAACAGTTAAATGTGGCAGCTAATCGAGTAAGTGCCACACAAATCGATATCTATATATGATGTATAGTTGAACAGACATACCTTTTAATAATTGATCATTTCTTAACCACTCAATACTATTTAGAGACGGATTAGCAATTATTGAACATTGAATTACATCGTATGTATTTTCGATAACGGTTAATGTACGTTGAACTTGTTTTGTTTTCCAAAATATATTGACGATCGGCTTAACTATAAAGAAAAATAAATATAAACTAAAACTTGTTCTTTTTTTCTTTCGTTCTCAATATATTGTCTTAGAAGTATATAGGTGTGTGTGTGTGTGTGTGTGTGTGTATGTACTTCAACTTCTGTCTATGATTATAAGTTACATTAATCCACTATAGAAAAAGTTTATATCGTCTTCTATCGTATATAGTGTATGTTCATATGTAGTTAATTGTAAGAACATTTGCGCTTCATGACAATCGTGCTTATCAAGTTTTATACTCCTTTTGTCATCGTTCATCTTATTTCGAACTAGTCACTATTGCTTTCAAATATTTCACGACGAGACATATAGATTTAGAACTCATTAAAGATTTGTTCTCTCAATCGATTATATGAATCAAAGAAGAAGAAGAAAAATAATATGAAAATACACTTTTTTCTGGCAGCACCAAACACTTTTCAAACTTGGATTTAAATGGTAACCAAACTAAACTATTTTTTTATTAATATCAGTATGAAATTTTGAAACCATCGTATAGAAAAACAAATGCTGATATTCTAGTATGTTTAGTGTTTAATGGCCCCGGCAGACACCATCAAAATTCAATTCTAAATTAACTATTTCCTTTCTCTCTAGCTCTTTCTTTTGTCATCTATTTACTTTCTCTTTCTCTCTCTTACTCTCGCGCTCTCATACATACACTCTCTTTTCAAGAATCGAATATTAAAAATAAAAGTTAGATAAAGACATTTGACACATTGATAAATACATCAAACAACAAGTTCATTAACATTTAATAGACAAAGATGTGTATTGAGTTGGTGTTCATTAAATAACAACACCGATTTCACTACGTAAATTTATTGATATAATGTAAATATGATTAAATTGATTTCATCTCATGCCGACACATATTTTATCAACGAGTTACTTACAAAATACTTCAAGTTTCAATTCAATATTTGTATCTTGTATACTAGCTTCATTTGATACTTGACAACGTAAAACATTTGAATTATCATCAACAGTTAATTTCAACAATATCACTGAATAACTGGTAAATTGACCGGTTTGATTTCCAGAATATCTAAATAAATAAAAATAAAATTAAAATAAAAATTAAGTTAAAATTTCTTTTATAATCATTTTACCTTTGAATTAATTTATCATTTTTATACCATTCAAATGTTGGAGTCGGATAGGCACGATCACTTGTACTACAAAAAAAAATAAAAACATTATTTGATTAGAAATAAATGATAATTTATTATGTTTATATTTACCAATTGAATAATACTGATGTGTTTTCATGAACAGGAAGTGATGGTAATGAATTTAAACGAAGTCGAGATGGTGGTACTAAATTGATAACAATACATTTTAATGAAGATGACAGTGTTGTTTTTGATGAAGGGTTCAATTTTAATATTTTAGTTTTCTTTTTTTTTTCTTTTCACTTTAAAACTATCGAAAAAACTTCTACCTTTTTTCTTTGTTCTAAATTCGAACAATAATAAGACATTGTTTTAAATTAAATTAAACACTTTTATTTCACGAATGAAATGAAACAATCTGTATAGTATATAAAATATAGAAACTTGAATAGTGTACATTTTTCTCACCAGTATGCTATATGCTCGAGAAATTCCTCATCATCATTTCTTTTCTTACATCTGCTTAAATTATTCTTGTTTATTATTGTTCACTAAAGGTGTTGTGTTCCGTTTATCACCTGTTTTAAATGGTACATTATTATATGTCTTATTGTTCATTCATTCATCTCACATCAAATAAATTAAATAGCAGCCAAATGTTTTTTCGACGATTAGTTTATTATTTTTTAGTATATACACATACAATTTATCACACCTTTTCTTATATTATATTGACTCTTTATCTTTAATTATTTCAAGGTGTATCTCTTATTATCATATCTGTTGAACGTGTGAATATTTTAATTAATCGTAAATCTAATTATTTGACATATCACTCTATATTAGTATAGTGAGAAGAAAGATGACACAAATGATAGAGTTGTACAACAAAAAAAAAACAACGACAGCCTATTCAGATCATATTGTTTATTCACTAATTATTTTCTTTTAACCTTTCATTTTAGGTTATAGTTTTATTTTTTTATTCACATTATTGAAACTAATTGTTATAATGGAACAATTCTTTGTAATTAATGAACGTCACAATTAAGAATAGCTCACAATCAAGCGGTTAATAAAACAGTTACATGCAATGCTTTGAAGAATATGTCTCTCTATATACATATCGTTTTTAAACAATTGAAAATATTCAAAAAAAAAAGAAAATGTAAGAAGACAAGACTGTGACTAAATGTTGCGACAGATTGTTTTCTATTTGGTTAAAAAAATGATGCATTGAAGAAGAGTGTCTAATGATCTTTATCAATGGTCTGTTAAATGAAGATGATCATTTTCTTTCTCTTTTTTTTGGTATATACACAGTCTGCAGCATCATATAGTCTAATACGTAAAGACGTCATTATAAACATTAAAAATAGAACATAAAAAAGGACTAGTTGATAATTACGTTTAGAAAATGAGAAAAGATACATTCTTTTGGTATTGAACAGATCTCTCAGAATTAACAATTGATTGAACGACTGTTGTTTGTATTTCGATCAATATATACAATGAATAACCTTTCGTATGGTTTTTTTCTTCTTTTTCTTTTTGTTGTTTTCTGTTTCAAATCTGCTGATCGTGGGTGGGTACAATAGATAGTTCATCTGATTATGCTTTATAAACTAATCTCAGAGATATAGTTTTATTGACAAATTATGGATCGTATAGAGAAACAGTTCAGACAAATGTATAAAGATTGTGTTTGGTGTTTAATTGAAGAACGGAAGATGAAAAAATTGACAATCTTGATTTTGATGAGTATCTCGGAAATGGCATATTGTGATTCGCCTTTTTTTTTATATATGGTGTTTCTTCAAGTATTCTTACATAATATTCATCAATAATTACATAAAAGAGATAGAGAATCAAAAAATTAATTTTCCTTTTTAGTAATTTAATATTAGAGTTACTCTTGTGGTTTCACATATAATTCTTTTTCTGTATTTTAAGCACACAAATGTCAATGTGTTATTGATGTGGACAATTATCTTGATATGGAAATACATTATAATAGATATGAAAAAAAGAGAGAGAGAGAGAGAGAGAAATTAATTTTGATTATGTAAAAAAATTAAACGATATGTCACGGAATAGAGATGTACGATTTTTCCATCCAAAGTCTACTCAATATCAAGAATAACTTTTTCTAGTAAAATGTTTGATAAAAGGGAAAAAAAAGGAAAACAATTCTTTTACACTGACTGATCTTTATGCTAATTTTTATATCTTTGAACAGGTGAAAACATCATAGAGAAGAAAAAAAAGAAGAATTTAATTTGAGTGAATTTTTCATTCTTAACAGAATCCATCACAAGCAAGGACAATAACACAAAAACTTTGTATTTTAATCACACTTTCGATTTTCGGATACGAGTCAAGTTTATATACATCTGTATCATAGAAATACAACGACACTTTTTATTATCTATGGGTTCATCTTGTTGACGTTAAATGTGTGCTGCTGACATTTTTATACTAGTAACAGCTGTACATTTTTTATTGTAACAAACACGAACTGTTTAGAATTACCAAATCATTTTTCTTCGTTAGTAACAAAAACAGCAAATATGATGTATAAACATTTCTTATTCTGTAGTAATCCGTTATGCAACAATTAACATATCGCACACACATAATCCACCATATAGTTTTGCCTGACATATTACAACAATAATAATAATCATACTAACAGAAGGATAATTTCGATATTTATATCATGCATATGATTAATATGAGACACTGAACAATCGTATGCCATTATGACTTAATAAACGTATACTAGCAATACTATTCTTTTTGTTGTTTTTTTTTACTCATTTTTCACATATCATAACTATCACATTTCTGTCTTGCCATAAATATGTTATTCTAACCAATATCGAACGTTTATAGTCAAAGAAATAGTTTTTAAACACTTCTACAAGTCATAATATATCTAGATTTATCCATCTGTTATAAACTATCTCAAATATCTAATATATTTTATCACTTGATGTAACATGTAACTAAGTAGAAATAGTCGTCCTATAAAATGATTTTTATTTTTATTTTTTTGACTTACCAATGACCGTTAATTGAAAACGATTTTCTTCTTTTGCTGTAAAATTTTGACATTTATATTCACCAGTATCTTCCAATTGAACATTCAATATAGTTAATTCATAAGTTTCAGAATCTAATTGTTGTATAGTATAATTTGTTGGATCATTCGATATTGAATTGACACCAATAACAGTTGTATCATCTTTATACCATAGAATAATATCTTCTGATGATGGTGATATTAACGCTTTTAATGACATTGTTCGTTGTTGTTGAGATTGTCGTTGACCACTATAGAGACGACATGTTAATGTTACATTAACATTTTCACGTACTTTAATTGTCTGTATCGATGAAGATGTATCAATAAATTTCAATAGATAAATAATAAAAATTATCCACATTATAAATATTTTAGTTCGTAGCCAATTCATGAATTGATTAAGTAAATATTAATTCTAGAAAAAAAGAAATATCTTATCAAATTTCATTTTCTTTTAAAAATCATAGTCATAGAATTATAGAATATTCAAAATGAAACTTTAATTATTGATTTTTAGTTGGTATCAATCTGAGACAAATGTTTTGATTATCCACTAAATAATTTCCTATTTTTTTTTTGTACTTACATAAGAAACTATAAATTTTAACACATTCTTCTGTATATATGGTCAATTTGTGTTTTTATATGCACACTTTCCTCTCTACTTTAATCTCATCTACATATATTCACCTTCACTCTAAAAAAATGTACACATTTATGATCAGAGGAAATGTTATATGGAACTTTTTAGTAGTACAATAACAACAATTTTTTCTGCTTCTGTACATATATAATGTACACGATGATGATTACCATTGAACATTTGTCGTTGGGACTGCTCTCTTTCTCTCATTGAAGAAACGAACGAAAAAAAGTAAAAGTTTTCTCTCTTCCTCTCTTTCTCTTTCTCTTTCTCTCTCCCCCTCTCTCTCTAATATGTTTATTTCTTCGTTTTTTTGAAGTTCATTGAATTAAATGACTCATATTTAAGAGGACATGTACGTGACCAATAACACAAGTCTTGTTCAACAGTAATAATGATTAACGATTAATGTCAGAAAAAGAGAAGAAGAAAATTCTCATATTTAGCCTCTGATTGTTCTAGTACGATCTGTTTGAAGAATACAGACGTGATTAGATATGTTTTTGAGACAATAGAATATAAAAATTTCTTGTGCTTATAAGAACATTAGTTAGTTCATTCAGTAACATGATCGTTCGTTAGTAAACGAGAAGAATCGAAAACTTACATTTTTATTGTGATTTTTAATAACAGCCGTATTATTCAATCAAAAAAATTCAAAACGTTTTGCTGGTAAACAGAAATTTGAATTAGTTTGGTAATGTGTAGAAATATTTTAAAATAAATTTCGTAATTTTCATGAGTATTACTGTTGTATTTTAAAAGTAGTTTGATCTTGTTTAACGATATAAATCAAGTCTCATCTTCTCCTGTAAGATTAACTAAATAAACTGTTTTCTCTATTCTTCATGCATAATGATACTTGATTTTTACATGTTCAATAGTCATTATTATCGGATGGATTAATAATTATAAATTAGTTACAGTTAGTGAAAGAAGCCGAATAGAATGAGAAATAAATGAATAAAACTTACATATTTTTCTCCTAATGATATTATGTTTCATCTTCTCTTTTCTTTTAATGAATGACTGATAAAGAAGATGCGTCAAATTTCATGTTGAGTTATACATTTTTCTTTTCAAAGACGATAGTATTTTCACGTAATTATCTTATACTTCGATTCTCATTCTGTTTTTTAATTTCAAGACAAGAAATTTATTGTACACAGTTGGAAATTTTGTTTTTTCGTTTTGAAAAATGCTTACTATTTTGACATGTGCCTGCTGATAACAACTAATTGCTGTGTCTACCGTTATCTTTAAAAAACAAAACAGGGAGCCCTTCATTACCTTCAAGGCAAATAGATACCTTCATTGTTGTTATCAAATCGTCTATAGTAGAGAAAAAAAACCCAAAAAAGAGAGACAAATTTTTCTCATCTTTTGAACAACACACTGTATTCATTCATAGACGTGTTACTATAGTGGCCCATTGTGTTATATTTATGATAATTCATGGTAAAATAATTGCCTTAAAGACAAAAATATGGAAACGAAGCGACAAATTAATCAATATATAAATAAACCGCTCGATGATAAATGTTCATCACCTTTTGGCTAAAAATAACAGTTGATAATATTTAATTATCGCTTACGTAAACATACAATCCTTGAACAGCGAAGATAGATAATAGGATTTTCTTTTTGTATAAATAGTATAAATTAAACGCGAAAAATATCAATAGTAGATAAAGTTTCCATTATTAAGTAATTAGAAAATTAAGATCTTGACTAGATATGATCACCTGTAAAAAAACAGTCTCATCAGAAAAATGTTGATTTTTGTGAATGATTTTTGTTTTAAAATACGCAATAGATACTAAAATTCTCTCTTCTATATCACATGATGAATATAACACAAAAAGTTGATTCATCGTCCGCTTTTGAACTTTACAATCCGGTTAAATCTAATTCTTACGAGTCATATTACCGTGAAACGCGGAACTCAATGAATAATTTTCATCATGATATCTCGTTTGCTTCTATCTTAAATAATGAGATTTTAGTGTCTAAAGTTTAAAAGACGATTATCTGCGAACGTAGTTGAATTTCAAGTGTGAGTTCTCAACGTTGAATTGCTCAAAGTCAACACATTGTGTATACATTTTGAATTTCTTCTTAAAAAAGATGTTGAATATTATTCAAGCTGTAATTGATTAACATCAATTACAGTTAATAATGATGTTAATCATTATATTTGTCTTTTTGAACTGGTGGATCATCCTTCGAAACAAACAGGCATATCCTCACTCAAAGATAGTAGTTCTATCTGAAAACATCAAAGAAAAAAAAGTATATTGACCTTTTTGGTCGGATGACATGTGAAAGATACCTACCTTAAATAATGTACGTGATAACGTTTTATAACAAGCTAGTAGAAGTTTTCACTCTAGGAGATCAAAAATGGATAAACGGGGAAAAAATCATGAAATATAACGATCACCCTCAATTAAGCATTGAAAACTATTAAATTCACGTTAAACTACATGATAGTATAATTCTTTGCTCGTGAGAATTGAATTTGACCTATTATCATTTCCTCTATTGTCTGACACAGCCAATTTAGATCATTTCAGATATGAGAAATAGTCTAAAATGTTTGTTCACTCAGTGATATACTAGTGAATTTTCTCTTAAATAGAAATGATACGATATTCAAAATGTCATTTTAATATGTTAATTCGTTTTATGCCGCTTCTTTGTGAATATTATGACAAAAAAATTTAACATGAGCTTCTGTTTGTTTTTATTATGAAACATACGATAGTAGTGTGTGTATGTGTGTATTTATTAATTTAAACGGAAGTATATTATAAGAATGTTTCAAGCGTATATGAATAAAATATGTCCTAGAGTAGCAGCATAGAGTGTAAAGGAGGAGAAAGTTGTTCTATGTACTGTTAGATACTTCACTATAAACAGACATAAGATTTCAAGATGAAAAAAACGAAGAACATATGTATTTTTATTTGATCAAAGCATTTTTCGATCATGTTTCCTTATTTATGCTTGAAGGCTTTCATTTCAATTGCCTCTCTTTCTCGTATTGAAATTGTTCATGTTATGATTAATTATGTGTCCCACATACAACATATACAGTTACTCTCTTCTTTTCTTTTTCTTTTTCTTTTTTTTAATATCAGAACTTCTTTTTTTTACTTGAAAAAACGATCAGTCTCCACTTATGGAATTTATTCGTTATAAGTGTATAGAAACCTTGAACTGTCTTCTCTTTTTCTTTTCCAGGTCAATGAATAAGTCACAATGATGAATATATTAGATTATAGACAATTTTTTTTACCCAAATATCATCACCATTGTTTAATATAATCAAAACTAATAAAAAATTTCTCTTTACAGGTAACACTCGACAAAAGATGGAGAAGAACACTTAAAGTGAATTCAAATGCATGCATTATTGTACATTTATTGTAATCATGACTTTCTCTTATGTTATAATTGAAGGAATTTAAGATATTTTTAAAGTCAGATATATATATATATGTCTATTTTTTAAAATAGAATAATATATTCATAATTCTCATATTAACATCTTTTTAGTCTATGTAGACAACGAAATGATGTATCTCTCCTATTTGTTATTGTATCATTTTAACAAACTATTGTTACTATCTTCGTATATACTTAAATGGGTGTAACTAAATATCTTCTATGACTATGTGTATAAAGAACGTGTTTTCATTCAATTTTCAACAATGTTTTTTTGCTATAAAAACAAATATAATAATTTGTTTTATCTAGTTAATATCATGGCACGTAGATGGTTATTCTCTCTTTTATTAAATTCATAATGTATTTCTATTTCAGAGAGAAAAATGTCGCATTATAAATTTCAACACCTTTTCAGTCATATACATATCTCTAAAACGACTTATTTTTGTAGAAGAAAACAAAACAAAAAAGGTGATGAATAAATAATATGATGATGTTTAGAACCTCTGTCCAATGATCATTTTATTTATAAAAAAATATAAAATATATATCAAAGTATTTTTACTCTAGACGATATATATGTAGACAGAAATAGAGTATGTGCAAATTTTTGAAATTTGATGATTTTTCTTTATATTAAAAAGTAAAATGAATTTTTAGATCAAGGCATTTTAATGATAATATTATCTTGTACTACCTTACAGAATGAATGAATAAATGATCGATTGAACAAACAAGGATAAGCACGAGCAGAAAAAAGAGAAACCATAGATATTAAAATTAATTTTTTTTTGTTCGTGGCACAAACGATAGATACCGTTCAAGTGTTCATTTCGTGTACGTGCATTTAATTAATAATCGCTTCAACATTCTAACATCTTGGAATACCATCTTTTAACTCATGAGTCTAAAGTCAAAAGAAAAAAGAGAGAGAAAGAGACGTCTTCTTTCTCTCTTTGTCTACAAAGTGTTGAAAAATGTTAAAAATATAAGAAGTAATTATTATCAATGAGAGTTTTTTTTTTTTATAAGATTATACGATTGTTTTACTTCTTCGAAACAAAAGAAAGTAGAAAAGAGTTCATCGTACGTTCACATGTCATCTTAGAAATATGTCTAAAAAAGAAAAAAGAAACGTTATTTAATTTTCAACTGTAATTTTAATATTTAATTAAAATTCTTTGATTCATTGATATTTGTCGCATCTTATATGACTGAAAAAAAAACTATCTTATATTTGAAATAAAAAAAGTTTTGTTATCAGACACATTAAAAAACAACAACACCAGAAAAACTCATTCATTTTGTTTTACTTACATGACTATTTACTAATATATATACATATATATATATATATTTCTAACACACTGATGTAAATTCGACAAGAATAAAAATATATTTATTCATACTTTCAATTTTATTTAATATACACGTATAACTGACCGATTTTTGCCGTCGACAATTAGTTTTGTTTAATTTTGTCTAAGCGATATTTCATTACCTATATATATATCAATAGATGGTGAATATAGATTTTTAAGTGAGCAAGTATGAACATTGTGAACATTAGATTGTAAAGTGTTCTAAATTTGTGTTCGATATTGAACACAATTTTTAATCTTATAGAGAAGAGAAAAAAAAAATATATATATATAATTTTCTTCTTTTTTTTTACAATGTTATTCATTCATCTCTAAGCAGATCAATATTGTGGAACTAATTATTCTCAATTATGCAGTATAACGTTAAAATAAACATTTCTATTTCAATATTAAACTATCTTATCTAAATGATTTAAAATATGCCATAGATATTTTTTTAAATAAAAATTCAATTTTTATCATATTATTATATATATTTTGTCACCATACTAACTTTAATCCATGCTAATTTTTGTTTATAAAATAGATTTTTATTTTTAGTTTTTTTTTTTATTTTTTCTCTTTCAAATATTAGCCATGTGTTACAATAAAATTTTGATTGATTTTCTAATAACATTAATAAACAAACAAATAGTAAACATTACGTTAAAGACAAATGATATTATTGAGAAAATGTTTGTGTCATTTAGAGATTAAATTTAATGTTGAATAAATATAACAGTCATGAAAACATAGTTTTTAATCAAAAGGAAAAACAAATCTTTTTTTTTTTTTCTTTTTTTGTATTTTATATTAAATAAAATAAACGATTATCTGATCAAATGTAACGGCGTCAATTGACTCTCTTTGGTTACTTGATGCCCATGTGAAATGAAGGACGTATTTTTAATTTCTCAACTAGACTATAATCTAGTTTTAGAATGATCATCAATTGAGAACGAGATCTTGAATCAATATATTTATATATATATGTGTATCGAAGTTTTTTATTCAGACTAAGTTGAGTTTCAGTTCAACTTTCCATTGATTTGACCAACTGAAATTAGACAACTATTTTTTTTAACCTAATCTTTGCCCGTAGACATATTTCTTTTGATATACAAAAATGTTACTGGAATTTATGACTGGTTTTGTCAAGATTAGTTAGTTACAGTAGAATGTGTCTGATGTCTTTGTATTTCTTCGTTTTTCTTCTATCCATCTATTTGATCTCTTTATGAATAGTTGTATGTTTTGTATTGACTTAAAAAAAGAAAAAAAAAAAAAAATGTTTTATTCACTTAGTTAAAATATGTGTCTATAGTTCGAGTGGAACTAGTCTAATTAATCAGGCAATTTTGTTGATGTTTCAATTTCACATTATGCCGGATTAAATACATTTTTCTTTAGGACTAAACGATCAAAACATTAGACATGCAACTTATTCTTTGTTGTGTTTGAATGAAGATAACAACAGAAATATATATTCTCTTCTTTGAATGACCGTAGGTAATTATTCATCGACCATATTACGAAGTCTACCGTTAAAAACTGGAAAAAGATATATAAAAATATATATGTATATATTGGGTTTTTGTAATAATCTAACAGTATAAAATACAAATTTTATGTATCAAACTGTCATATTATAGTGCAGTTTGAATAGACAGTTGAACGCACGCAAATCATCAATCAATGAACAATTAGATAATGATTCTTTCTTTTTCTTTTTCCTATGAAAAGACAATTGAGTTTAAAAATTAGAAGATATATCGATATATGTATTTAAAAATCCATTTTGTCCTCCCTTGAAAAGAAACATGAGATTAAAAATCTATTTAACCCTTCTGTTTGAATGTTTGAGAAGATGACAGGACATTAAGTAATAAACAATAAATAAGAATGTAAGACGCCAAAGGCAGATGAGTGGGTGTATTCATAGTGTATGACAAAATAAAATTTGTCATTTATATACTATTACTTCATAATGTATTTTCTCTTCTTTTTTTTTTCCCATTTTTAAATTATAGTGTTACTTTGAATTTAATTGAAAATATGCATGCCTGCTGATATTATGCTATCGTGTACATTAACATTATTTTACTCTAAATATATTATTATTTATTTAGTTCTATAAAACATTTGGTCCAACGGGAACACCTTTTAAATTAAATAAAACTTTATTAAGTCTTGTATCGAGAATTTTAATTGGTGGTACATTATGAGATTTATCTAATTCTGTATTACTATTAGCTTCTTTTAATTTTTCTACTCGTCTTCTAAAATTTGCATCTAATGAATTTTTCTTTTGTAATTTTTTATTATAACGATTTCGTCGATTACGTGACTGTTGTACTTGTTGATGTAAATGATGATGGTGATGATTATGACTTGATACCATGGATGATTCTAACATTCCACCATGATGATGAGATGATATAGGACGTGTGTCACTGTGCGGACGATTATGACGGGATTTACGTACCGGTTTCATTGGACTTACACCTTTGATATGAAAATGAATTGATAATTAATTCAATTCTTAGATTTTACCCATTACTTACTTGATCGTGTTTTTCGTTTGTGTTTTGGTGATATACGTTCTGTCTGAGATTGAATTTCATCTAATTGAAAGGATGGATTGTCAACACCTTTGACTTCACTCATTTGTTTCTCTCCTTTACCACCACCACCACTAGTACGATGTTGACTTAGCCTATGCCTTAGTTTTTTCTTAAATGGAAATACACATATGCATTTAATAACAATAATAAGTAACTTAATAGCCACTAACCGGTCCTTCATCGATTGATTGAACTTTAGTATGACCACCGGATTCGACTAGCATTTGTTCGTTTCTAAGCGGTGAACCATTAATAAAGACTTCATCATCTGAACCAGCTAAGGAACCGCCATCTTCACCTCCTTCGTTTTCAGCTTTTTCAATTTCTCCATCACTGTAATCTGGTAATGGTTCATTTTCTTCATCAATTGGCTATGATAAAAAAATTAAAAAAAAACGATCTATCAATTACCAGCATCGAAAAATACACAGTTGTACTGTTATTAATCTCCAAATGAGCTTTAAGTATTTCATACACTAACAATGTTGTATTAATATACTACAAATCTATCTTCTTTGCTTCCACAATAAAACACAATCTTACAAAATATGATTTTTAAACAGTTGTTTACTTTGATTTGTTGTAACATTTTTACAATATCCATAATATCTTCAATTCGTACGCCTTCATGAACATTTGATCTTAGTTTTGTCGACGCCAGAATATGTTGAAATGTATTATAACGATGACATAGCATTGCAACAAATTGTATTAGACAAATAATACAAAAACATATAATCAACATCACACCTAAAACAAGGCATACATACATCTATAAATAGACTATCAGATACCAGTTTTCAGCTGAATGACTGATTGTTAAGACGATCTTCATCACTGGATTGATTAACTGCATAACATGTTATACTTCGTTTTCTCTCTTAAAAATGATTCTATTCGATTAATCATCTAATCTCAAAGTTTTAAGTGTTATTAACTCTGCCGCTTTTCGAATTCTGAAGTAAAATATTTTATCGAATAAAAACGATATCAACGTTAAATCTTTAAGTTCAACATGCTCAGTTATTTTAAGTTCAATTTGTTTGAAACTTTCATCAAATATCATCCGTGATGTTAGTAACTTCAAAAACCTAAAATGTCAGTATTATTTTTAAAACATTTTTTTATCGATCCTTCTGAAAGAACACAGTTTTGAACAAAGTATTGTAAATTGCGAAGGAATGAGAAGCTGTGGTTTATATCAGCAGTGAGAAAGCTCGTGTTTTTTCCGGAACTGAACTGAACCATTCAAGTTTTTAGGAAGTCTAAACCAAACCAAAACGAAAACTTTCTAAAAAACTCCATTGGGAGGGAAGGCAATTATAGCGATACAGATTACACTCTTTTTTTTCACGATTTCTATGTTCTTTCAATTAACAACGCATTTAAAAGTTACTATGTACTAATATGTGGTAGACTCCTAAAAACAAGAATCACAACACTAGTGTTATCACGCATAAGTATTTTTCATATTTCAAAAGAATATTTAAACTGGACTGAAAGTATCTTTTTAAATAGCGAACCAATTTTGTTTCTGATATCCAATAAGGAATCAATGGTTTTACCATACATATGGATGGACCCAGTAATCGTGATGTCTCTTAACCGGAGAATGCCTAAACAGTGACTTTCTTCATATTGAACAAGCTAATAACTCGATATTTTTTATTAGTGCGTGTTTGTATGAAAGAGGAGGCTAATTGTTATTTCACACTCTAATATACTCAATTCTCTTTTTGTGAATTATATGTATTTTCACGAAATCAGATAAAACAATAAATTTGATTTTGTATTTAAAATATTTGAAAAGCTTCACATTTTAGCCTCGAAGGAATTGTTTCATTTTTTATCTTTCTAACACCTTAGCACAATAGACGATAACAATAACGCAATTTCTGTTGTGACGTGACTCGTTAGCAAGAAGCATTGAATTCTTTGAGAAAAAAAGGTTAAAATCGATTTTTGCCGTTTAACAATTACTGAAGAAAAGACTATTTTTCTATAAAAACGAACTCAAAAATCGAGTACTTTCGAAAACCTATGTAATTTGATATTTTCTATCGAGGTGTTAAAAAGGCGAAAAACTCTGTACTTCCAGATGATATACCTTGCGAAAAAAAATGTTGGTACGTTGAGATTTTAAAATTGTCCTTATTACAATAAGTATTACTCTAACGAGGAAAGGTCCCTGAGTGCCACTTCAAATTTTCTTTGAAACATTGGGTAATTTTTGATGCTGATCTCGAATCTGATATCCATTAATCCCCATATGGCCTTTCAGAATCTCTGCTCAAATTCGGTGTCTTCAGGAAGCCACAGTGAACTTTCGTCTGAACAAATTCTGATCGTGTCAGATTGTAGAGCATATCAAATAACACCTGTGGACAAGTTTTGAGAAACGAAGGGCAAGTTTCCATTTAGTTATAAAAATTTCAGTGTTTTATCCAGCCAAAATAAGGATCATTAAGGTATTTTTCCATAAAAAACCTATAAGTCAATGAAAACTTGTCCTTTGTTTCTCAAAACTTGTCCACAGGGGTTATTTGATATGTTCAACAATCTGACACTATCAGAATTTGTTCAGATGAAAGTTCACAGTGGGTTCCTGAAGACACCAAATTTGAACAGAGATTCTGAAAGACCATATGGGGGTGAACGAATATCAGATTCGAGATCAGCATTAAGTATTACCCATAATCAAGTATGTTCTAAGGAAAATTCGAGGTGGCATTCGGGAACCTTTCCCCGCAAGTGATTCACATCCATTTCAACTAAAAGCAAATTTTACATAATATCATGTCCTAAATAATATCCGTTTTTAAATTTCATCTCTCTCAGACTAATGAAATATTTAAGTAATATTGATATCAAACCCACCTAATGGTTCGATGCTTACTGGTTGATAATATAATGATGGTATGGGTATTGGTATGAATAACATATCTTTTAAACGATTTTGTGCTAATAGAACCGAGAATACAAATGCAATCCATAGTGCATCTAACATAAAAAATGCGAATACACTTCGATCACGTAAATCATTTAATCCTAGCTGTAATTTTTGTTTTTCTAATGCATCTCGATGTTGAGGTGTCAAATATTTTTTAATTAATTTTTTCCAAAATATATGTTCATCATTTGATAAATAAGTTAATTCAGAATATTTCAATAAATCATTATCATACCAATAGGGATTTACGTTTTCATTACGTTTTATAGATTTTCGATCATTATCAATATGTTGTTCATCAATCTGTTGTGTTTCATTGTTAATTAATTCATCGAGCCCTAAGCCTTTTAAATCAAGACCTTTATGTAAACGTTTATCAACATCTTCAAATAAATGTATTCGATTTAAAACAGCCGTTATTTGTGCTAATAATTGATCACTTGATTCTGTCTGTTGTGTATGACATTCATCAATTAATGTCTCTAAAATACCTAATAATTCATTCGTATTTTTAGCACTAGCAAATTGTTGTTCTAAAAATTGAATACAATCAGATTTTGTCTTAAATTTTTTTTTCTTCTCATTTGGTATGTAAATATTTTCTCTTGTACCCCAAACATTGGCATTAGCTACAAATAAATTGAATAATAAATAATGTGATTTAGTGGTATGTTATTTGTTTACCGTTAGTTAATGCATAAATAATTAATAATATATAACTTGTTGGAATACATAGAAAAAAGAGTAAGCATGGTTTAACACAATCTAAAGATCAAATGAATGTCTATGTGTTTTTAACAGATATATCCAAATCAAATTTACCTAATTCGTATGGATGACATATGGCGGTTAGTAAAAATATAATACCCATAAAGAGAAGAAAAAAAACGGCTGTTGTTTTCCATGATCCTTCACAGAGTCTTACAATGGTGCCAACAATAACGATCATCATTAATATTGAATAATATGTTCCAAATATGGCTGCACAAATAATTTTTTTCTCCTCATTAATATCATGATAGCATATCATTAGAAATAGAATAGCTGGAAAACATGCCAATAAAAATGATGACCAATAATCAATATCTAAAAGAAAATAAATATTTTATTATAAAATTTGATTAGTATAAAATAGAGTATACACCAGTTGTAGCATTAAAAGCATCTGCAATGGCAATAGTGATTGTAGCTGGACTCAAAATATATAAACCAAGATAGAATACATGATATAATACCGATAAAAATGATACACTCTCATTAATACGTATTGTACGACGATAATTTTTTAATATTGAAACCGTTGTTCCCAATGTTGATGGTATCCATCGACGACGCTGATTAAAAACTAAAATCCAACAAATATAATTTGATAATCGTTTTTTTTTTCTATAGAAATCTATTTTATACATACATGAAGTAAATGTTTCTGGTGCATGTGTGTAACAATCAGCTGCAGCACAATATTCAATTTTATAACCTTGTTCAATCAATAATTTACTCAGAAAACGATCTTCACCTTTGAAATGTAAAAAGCAGTAGTGCAGTTCTATATTTTGACAGTGAAAAAGTGAATACTACCTAAATCTCGAAGAATATAATCTTCGGCTGTCTCACATTTTGATGCAAATGATTTCATAACGTTATCATCCATTAGGGCAGAAGCACGATAGAGTGCAAAACATCCAGGTGCACATAGCACACATCCAAGACTATGTTCAGTTGTTTTTTGTAACCAATAACACATTGCATACTCCATTTTTTGGTACCATATCAGTGGTCCTTAATAAAATAAAATACAATGATTGGATTTACAAGGATAAAATATTAAAGAAGCTGTTTACCAGAGCCAATGGGATGTATTCTGCTACTAACAGCGCCGACCTTCTTGTTTTTCTTCATTCGATCGACTAATAAACGAACAGCTTCAGGCGAAAAATCACAATCTCCATCAACAGACAGTACAAAAGTGTTTTCAGCCTAAAAATAAATCTTTTCATATAACAAGACTTTTAAAAACTTTTATTTTTACCTCTAATAACAGTCGTGGTCCAAGCACATCTTTATAATAAACATGTAAATCTTCATTTTGATCAAAATGTCTTCGATATAATTTTTTCTTTGGATTTTCTTCAATTAGTTTAATCAACGATTGTAAACGTTGTTCACATTGTCCAAGAATACGAAATCCAAGTAAATAGTACATATACATTACCATACTCCATCGTTTTTTCTTGCTAACTTTTAATTTATCTTTTAGATGCAAAACTAAAAGATTTCCCCCTGGTAAACGCCAATCTAATCGCCCACCATACAGTGTAACAGTCTTGTGTGGTGGCGCCATTCGCATTCCTTCAACATCATGAACAATCCTATAACAAAATATAAAATGAGTATGACATAGTTGTATCTCTATTATCTCAAAAATAGTGTACCCTGCTGCTTTGTCAATGGCACCAAAAAATTCTTTAACAAACGAATTAATTGTTCGTTGATCTTTTTCGTTATTGTGAAACGCATCATCAAAGAAGACATGAGCTATAATATGAAAAATAAACAAATCGTGGATTTTATATTAGATATAGTAAATTACCTTCCATTTCATAAAAATCTGGATCAACAACCTTAAATTCATCTCTGGCCTGACGACGTGCACTTTGATCAATATCCATTCTGTTTTAACGAAACGAAACGTTATTGGTATTGATAAAAAATTATTTTTAACGTCAAAAGATGTTTCTGACCTCATAACCGACTTTAACATGAGCACCATTTCACTCATACTTTCATGCCAAAGTGTACCACATAGATAAATTTTGGTATTGCTTTCAAGTTTTTCATCATCAGCTAAATGAGTGTGAATTCAATGACTAAACAGCAAATAGTAAAGCATGCAATCAAAAAGGTTTTCCGTTTAAAAGGATCTTTACTATAATCGAAAAATCTATGAAATACTATACGTTTTAAATTATAAGAGTTCTGGTTGTTTTTTGAATAATTTTTGATAGGAATGAGAGAGAGACTTGCCGTTTTCACCATTTGAAAGAAGGAACTGACGAGTAGGACTGTAAAAGTTCCCGTTAATTCTTCGGTCGTTATCGACAACGGTAACTAACTTATCAGTTAGCGTTAAAACAACTGTAACTGAAAAGACAGTTAGCGTTACTTTAACGATAACTGCGTTACCGTTACTTTAACGGAACTATCAGTTAGTTAACGTTGTGGTAGCTATTTTTTAAGTATGGCAGAAATATCTAAGCAGCGGCTTAAAATGACTTCCAAAATCGTTAGTTTCCCACTAAAACTGTTGAAACTTTCATAAATGACATGGTTTTGTAGTCTAATTACGTTAATGAAAAGAAAAATATTTCTCAAGCTGGCTGTAGATGCTGAGGTCTCCACAGATCTTAAAAACCGCAGTTATAAAACACTGAAGTAATAATTTCGATTAGCTTAGTTGACTGGCATGTGCGTGCCAATCAAAACCATGTCATTTATGAAAGTTTCAACAGTTTTAGTGGGAAACTAACGATTTTGGAAGTCAGTTTAAGCCGCTGCTTAGATATTTCTGCCATACTTAAAAATTAGTTACCACAACGTTAACTAACTGATAGTCCCGTTAAGACAACGATAACTGTAGCGTCTCAGTTAGCGTTAAATCAACGCAACGGAAACTTTTACAGTCCTACTTACGGGCATGTTTTCATCAGAAGAAATCTTTCCAAAAAGGTTTCTTAAAATATGTTTGTAGCAGAGATGGGTAACTTCTCCATTTTCCAGTCCGAGTCAAGTATCGGTCCACCAGGGATTCGGTCTCAGTCGAAGTCCGCTCAAAACCTAAATTTTTAGCACAAGCTGGTCCTAGCCAGAAAGTTTTTCTTATTCGCGCCTATGATTACATCTTTTGGTTTGTATCTTTTATCGAAATGACACTGTTTTTTTAAGTGCCTAGGCACTTAAAAAAACATCTTTGATATAGCTATATCAAAGATTTTTCTCTACAGTAAAAAACTCCAAAAGGCCAAGAACTGATCTGAAAAATTAGCCCCGCTTGCAAAAATAATCCGCCACAGTCAAGTTTCAGTCCAGTCACAGTGCGGGTAAAAGAACTTATCAGTCCGAACGGGGACTTGCCCACCTCTAATTTTTAGGAGTTCTCTAGGAAATCCGGTTGCGTCTCAGAAACTTCCAATAGAATTATATTGAATGTTTTTCCTGGATCAATATCACAGAGTCAATATCAGTGTCCCCTTCAAAATGGGAGCCAAGTGAGATCTTGATTTCCAGTGGTTTGAAATTTCCAAAATTCAAATTTCGAGTCCCACGATTAATACCGCACAACTATTGGCAACCTCGAAAACGGATGGACTATAGTTAATCAATCAAGCTGAGTCTCGTGACAATATTTGTTTTTAGAAAAAGATTTTAAATCCTAGAGAAAACCAGGTTTTTCGAAAATTAAAGTTTTTTGCCTGTTTTTACCTACCTACTTAACCGACGTTTGAGCGACTGACATTTGAGCGACTCCAACAATGGAGCGAAGCGCATCACTTATAGCTGCTCACTCTCGCCCTATACAGATCTCCAAATAATTTAGTTCATGATCGGACGACAAAGAAATTGTTATCATCATCGTTATCGACGTGAACAATCATTCCATTATCCTGATCGGAGAAAAAGTCATATTGAAAAGTGTCTAATGTCAGATCGCTCAATTGTCGGAGTCACTCAAATGTAGGTCACTCAAACGTCGGTTGACGCACCCTGTGATATCAATCCATGAAAAACAATCAATATAATTCTATTGGAAGATTCTGCTGGATTCTGGAAATCATGTCTTTCTCTTGACGCTGTTTGTAGTTGATAGAATTACTCCATATTTGGCTTGTTAGAGAGCTCTGGAAAATACATATAGCTAAAGGCTAGTAGAATCTTATTTTGATGGTCAGAAAATGTTTTTGACAACATAAGGACACAGAGTTTGAAATTTAGATTTCTCAGTTATGCAGAGATTGGACTCTCTGTCCCATCTGTGTCTTCGCCATCTGAAAATAGTCAAGAGCTCTTTAACATGTAACGTAGGGACTAATTTTTGTATAACAATAGGAAACAGTAACATTTTAACTCCCGTAATTATCGACAACTCCTCCATGTTGATAGATGGCGATGAGTATACTTTAATAGAATTGATATGTCGTGAAAATGTTTGTTAGTAATCATTGAAATAGATTTTTCATATACAGTACACGCGTCTTATCGGGGAATGAGACTATTTATATCAGTTTCTCAGAGTAGTTGAATCATTCTGCAATCTACTTGAGGGCGCGCGTCTGTTGATTGATGCTAGGTAATCGACCTTTCATTGTGTATGTTCATATTTTATGTAATTAGATGAACGACTCTGTTTAATGTAATATGATTTACTGTAGTTATAAAATAAAATTTGTTACTGTATTCGTTCTATCGTCTCTTCTCATCTATTATTTGTCCAGACATTAAACGGCACAATAGTAAAAGACCAGGTAGAATAAATATGTAAAACGCACTCGGTAAGTAAAACGTTTGCTTTGTCATGATTATTGATGACGGAAGTAACATAAATGTAATTGAGTTTCAAATAAAATTACATTCTTTTCTCTGACTAACCAAACGCGTCTATTGATCATAGATAAATCCGTATAAGAGAAAACTTATACTTACAAAAAGTTGTTAAACCTCCAATAATATCTAAATCTTCAAAATGTTCTTCGAGTTTATTTTTCCGATGTTCAGGTTCATTTCGTCGTCGATTTAATAATAGTGATTGTTCAATAAGTGCACTGCAGTACTGTGGAAGGACAAACAGTCTAAAATAGAATAAATATACTCTCACTAGTCGTTTTTTATTTGAGATATATCACTCGATTATTTACGTTTCGGTTGTTGCCAAACGTTTATTTTCTGGAAACCAGATGTGCGCTGTTATCCACAATTCTGATAACCACCACAAACCCATCCCGATTAAAATATGCCACGTTATTCGTTGAAAATTTAAACTTTCGCTACATTCCCAATACATGACTTCTTTAATGAATATTACTTGATCGCCTTTCCATTGGCATAAACCAATAAAAATGCCCAATGTTACCGGAGTGGCAAGTGTTAACGGCACAGAGAATGCTACACGCTGCATTTGCATCTTACATGCCGATTTTGCAAAATAATAACACAGTCCAGTTGAAAAAAAATGAATTAACATGGGCACAAATGGACCAATGGATCTCCAATAGTCATCGGCCGTTTTCTCCTAGAATTAGATGAGACCAATATATAATTATTGTAGAAAAGTTATAGAGTATTTAACTTACAGCGGCAGGTATGATATCCCATGGATTTATTGTCGTATGATCTACATCTTCAAATGG